AAATCTAAATGTTGTTCAAGTGGTAAACGTCCAGTTTCGTATGCCTGCTTTATTTCAGCTAATTTCTGTTCAGTCATTTTTGTATTTTTCAAACAACTTAATTTGAAATCATGAGCTCCACCTTTCAGTTGATTTTTTCAAAATAAGAAATTAAATTCCTCATTACATAAAGCATCGATTAGACGCCATATATATGGATGTTTTTTGATGATTCGACGTGCAGACCGTGCGTGCCATGCTTAATATGGAAAATTATGTGTAGAAATACTAATACCATCCATCAAGGATGATTTAATACATTCACATGCATTATTCGTTCTAAATTTGAGATCATTTACATTCCACATGTTTACTCCTATTTTGTTGAACCAAAAATCTTGTACATATTCTACAAATTTTTTCATTCTTTTGGGTGCACCTAACTTGATCAAGTGCAAAGCAGTTTCAGTTTCATTAGATGGTAGTAATGCAAGAGCCAAAGTATACTTTGACCACTTACGTACTTTCTCTTCATCACAATACGCTATTGCTAGTCCTTCACTAACTAGACGTCGATGAAGACTCTAATTGAAGTGGAAAAAACATCCGTTATGCTCAGTTGTTGGTAACTATATGAAAAATATTAAGAGTTAACTACAATTTTATATGGAACGAAAGCATAAACCCGGATTCCATAGAGATAAAATGCATGCCTGACGTTTTACTGCTTTGATTAACGATGTTTCAAAATCTGACATCAATACAAGTAGGGGTGGACCATTTTTTTTAACGGAACTTAATTAATGACATTAATTAATGATTTCCATTAGCCATTAATCTTAATGGTCAATGTTTTCTAAGAAAAACTTAATTCATTAAGATTAATGTTTAATGAAAAACATTAACATTAATTTTAAAATTAATGTTTTCATTAATCATTAATATCAATGTCAATGTTCTTGAATGATATTAACGGTTAACGGAAACATTCACCATTAGTATGAATAGTAATGTTTTCGTTAATATTAGGGATTATATTTTCATTAATCATTAATATCAATGTTAATGTTTTCATGAAAACATTAATTTTTCCATACTACTGAATTACACTGTAAAAAAATCCGTAGAATACTAAACCCAAAAAGGGTTGACGAAAGTGCAACGTATAATAAACCCTTTTTCCGTTTTTGAAAATTTTCATAAACCCTTAAAGGGTTTATGATTATGTGGAAAATACCCATTAGGGTTTATGAAAATTTTCAAAAACGGAAAAAGGGCTTATTATACGTTGCACTTTCATCAACCCTTAAGGGTTTAGTATTCTAAGAATTTTTTTTACAGTGTAGGCTTTTCTAAGGAAACATTATCTACAATTATTAATCAATTAACTGATCTTAATAGCTAATGTTTTCTCCGAAAGTGTTAATTACTTAATATGGAAAGTTATGATGCTTTCATGAAAACATTTACCATTAATATTAAGTCATTGATTTTAAGGAAAACATTAACCATTAATATTAATGATTAATGAAAACATTAACATTAATATAAAATTAATGTTAATGGCCCACCTCTAAATACAAGTGGTTCAAATTTAGTTCCCATAGAGATAGCTGTTGTTTTCAAATCTTCTATCATCTGTACGTAAGCGGATGTTTTCTTATCCACAAGCAACGCAAATGTACATGGAAATACTAAATACATGAATCAGAACATGAGTTTATTTATCTACAATAGATGATATCTAATTTGATACCTTCATTTTTTCTATATCCATGAAAAGTATAAAGCTGATTAAAAATCATGCAATGGCACTGTAGAAAATGTACCATCGCAGAAAACATAAGATGATTTAAATAACTCATACAGCTGTGTATTTGATGAGAATATAAGTAAGCGGTCACCGCTAACTGTAGTTTTATCAAGGGGGAAAGTGCAGGTTTCGAACCCCCACCACCTCAGCACCCGCAGCACCTTTTCGATGGTGAGATTTACTTCAGCCGTATGGAAATGAATCGGGAAAACTACCTTCATTTTCAATAGTAGAGGTGAATTTTTTTCTTGAATTATTCACAGAATCTGAATGAGATTTATTTCAGAATAAAAATGCCGACAGAAAAAGAAAAGTATCCTTCGAAAGTAACCGTATATCAAATTGCAAAATGATATACCAAAAAGTTTGATCCTTCTTTTATCAGTGTGAGAACTAATACTGAGCTCTGATTATTTTTCAGAAGTTTATTTTTCATTTTATCACTATTGCATTGGTACAGCTTCTGGTTTCTCTCAGGTATCAAAAAAACATTGTACGAAATGCCATATTCCTTGGTAAAAAAAACCTGCACCTCATTTTATTAGCTTGAAAATCATCATTGAATTTGGATTATTTTTCATAAGTTTATTGTGTATTTCATCAAAAATCAATTTTTAACACCTCGAGTCCCCCGTCAAGGGTCGGAAAACCTTTTTTTGTTCTGGTTTTAATATAGATCGTTATATTTCCATAAAGTTAAGCTTTCTGATTACAATTATTGTCTCATTTTTGAATTTCATCGAATAATAAGAAAGATATGAAGCGCTCTCTCGGAGCCTTAAAAACAGTTACTGACCTAAAGATCCATGAATATTCGATTTATACTGTTTGAAAATAGGTCCGTTCGATGCACAATGTTTTTTCTATCAGAATATATAAGAACGACTTAGATATTCAATCTTTTTTCTCTCGATAAATTACAAATACCACCCCGATCGGGTCATACAGTTACAAATACTGCTTTTCTCAGTCTTACTAAGTGCAGCTTTTCGAGGTGTACCAGTTAGATTTTCTTACCGGATACGTAATTCAATGTGCTCTTTCTAATGAAACAGTTTTCAACTTAAAACTCGATGTAATGTAAAGCATTTTCGCTCCAATACTAGTGTTGGAATCGAATTTATGCCATTGCTTGGATGATACTTGATAGTTTCAAACAGAATAATTCTTATGCGACTGAATATAAATATTATATTTTTTTAAGCACAAAATCTGAGCGGATCTAATTAATCCTACAACTTTTGTTTTCGGTCAGATTTTTACGTCTGGCCCTTTTCAGGATCATATGAAAACGAAATATTTTATTCAAAACAACTATTTGATTGATTATTAATTGATCTACTTTATCTCAAACATCACTCACAAAGTTTGGAAACTTTTAACATTGTCCACATGACTTTTGGAGTAAGTTTTTTTCTGTTATCCATGACGGGGATCAGGGGTGAAAATCTGACCGAAAACAAGAGTTGTAGAAATAATTAAATCGAATTAGATTTTGTACTTAAAACAAATACAATATTTAAATTCAGTCAAGTCGGAATTAATCTGTTTGAAACTATCGAATATCGCTCACAAATGACAGAAATCCGGTTTCAAGAGTAGTCTATTGGAGCGAAAACACTTCATATTACAAGGCGTTTTAATTTGAAAACAGATTTATTAGAAAGAGCACATTCAATTACGTATTTGGTAAGAAAATTCTTCTGGTAAACCTCGAAAAGCAACGCTTCATAAAATTGAGAATAGCATTATTTCTAACTGCATGACGCAATCTGGGCGGTATTTAGCATTTATCGATAAAACAAAATTTGAATGTCTAAGTCGATCTTATATACTCTGATAGAAAAAAACATTCTGTAGCGAAGGGGCATATTTTCAAACAGTATAAATCGAATATTCATGGACCTTTGGGCCAGATAGCTGTTTTTAAGTCTTCCCGAGAGTGCTTCAGATCTTTCTTAGTATCCAATGAATTTAAAAATCTAAGATCGTATTTGTGATCGGAGAACTTAACTTTATCGAAATATAACTACTTGCACTAAAATCTGAACAAAACGTTTTTTCGATCCTTGAGGGGTACTCCAGATGTTAAAAATTGAGTTTTCACACAATACACAATAAACTCGTGGAAAATAATCAGAATTCAATGATGATTCTCAAGCTAATAAAATTAGATGCAGGTTTTCAGTGAATTCAAGTTCCTAATTTGGTTCACCTCTGTTTTTATTGTGGAATTAGTGTATTCACCAAGATTAAGGGAAAACAATGAGTTTAACAGAGAATCATGTCATTCTGTTGTATACTTCTTCTTTATTTTACTGTTCCTTTTTCACAACTACTAGCATGTTTAGCATGTTTCAGAATCTCTAACACCTGATCAGCACCTTCGATACGTTGTAGCAAAATTTGGTGCTTGGAGCCAACACTTTCCCCTTGAGTTTTATCATTTAATAGAAAACGTTCGAATCCACGTGTCAATGTATACATATGTGGAATGATAAAATCTAAAGATCGTGGAATATTTGGAATACATTTATGACGTTCTCGACTAAAAGCAGCTTCTAAATTTAAATGAAAATACGAATTTCAAAAGAAACGAATTAAGAATTTACTCATATGTTGTGGATGTGTTGATAGTTGCTGTGCTTCTGAAGATAAATTTATCTTTCTCATTTCTTGTTCAATAAGCAGAGCAACTGGTGTTAATTCTTCACGAACGCGTCGTTTAACTTGTGTTCTAAATACTCGAATCTCTTGTTTTGCAATCGAAGGCCCATGAAGATGATGAATTTCTCCTTCAGTACTTATTGAATGTCCACCAGTACTAATATTTCTGGTTGTGATAAGTGTTGCGGAACAAAAGCGAGTCTTGCATCTCCAATAATATTGTACTTTAGCCTCTTTATTTAAAGGGTAGCTATATTCACTCATCATTAGAAGATCACGACCTTTTTGAGTTTTAGAAAAGTTAACAGTACCAACATTTTATGTTGATCCAAGAGATTTAGTTAAAAAAATAGATATATTTTTACATGAACTGATATTCATACTGATGAATCAGAAGATACAAGTAACTCAGGTTGTTGAGATACCATCATAAATGTGTTTTTCAAATGGTTTGCTAAATTGAATGAAGATAATTCAAGAAAGACGAAATAAGACTATCTAAAAAGAGTCCCAAAAAATTAAAAAAACAATGCATACAAAGTTAAATCACTTTCCGAATATATAATGCAGTTCGTTTCTGATTCTTTGTCTGTGAGGATATATGAACATTTCTAGCTTTAACCACAGAATTCGTGATATATAGATGTCTCTTGCATAACGTTTTTCATTCGCATCGAACGCAATTCATAAGAAAATAGTTACATCGCGAGTATACCCACAACGCAAGTGTATGCCAAGAATCTCATACTTGCAACGCAACTATCCTTCACTATTATTTTCTAAATCAAGTAGTAATTTGAGAAATATTTTTAATATTTTTGACAAAACGTCATTCGATGAAATATTATTCGACGAGCTGGCGTTCGACCAATAGTCATTCAACGATTGGCTATGTTCCCTTATTCTTCTCAAAATTGTGCGTAACTTATCGCATATGTAGATGACTCTGAATTAAATTAGTTCCATAACTGTTGTTTTCAGGTTTCTTGAAAATTCTCTTTGTTTTCACCTTATAATTATATAATGAAGCGAAGCTTTCAATCAATCATGCAGTGTTCAAAAGGACCACGTTCACCGCATATATAAAACGAAATTAGTGGATGCCGCTAGTCGTGAGTAGTGCCAACGAACGACTAGCCGCTCAGTTAAAAATCTGTTGTGATTATAAGACTACAGGCCTTGCAGACTTATTGAATAGTTACACGTTGTCTCCATCAGAAAAGTTGAAACAATTTTCGAACATAGGAGATATTTTGAAATTCTTCCGAAGGCAGGTCGTGAAATATTTGAAATTTATATTTGTCGTAATTATCTTAATAAGTTTAGTTTTTCCTGATTGCGAGTGGATTTGATTCAAAAGATGTAAATCTTAAATTTATCTATCTGTAAACGTGCATGCGGGAATGAATATATGCATTCTAGACGGAAAACGCGCCGAAGCAAAATGAACCCAGATGTATTTGAACAAAAATGAGAATAACGCTAACCGAAATCGAGTTAGAAAAAGTCAGTTTGATTTGATCTATGATTTACTCGTGCAGATTCATGTTAAATATCTAGTTCATAGACCAGTTTGAGTTGTAACTTTACTAAAATGGAGTATTTCAATCATAGCTCTCTTGAATGGATCTTTTGCTTCACTCCGTTATCAAGCTGACCGAAAGCTTTTGGGAGCATGGCTTGAGCTGTAGCAGATCGGATGCACTTAAATTCACTATCGACATAAAGTATTAGTAAGTAGTAATTAAATGCCGTTTTCTTGGTGATACTGCCAAGCAAGTTTTCTATTTATGCTCGGTTATCAATCATGTTTTCCATGAAAATCATTTCGAAGCTATAAAATGTGAAGTCTCTCAGCAAGATAGTTTTGGATAGCTACGTTCCACATGACTAAATCCTTTCAGTAGAGGGTTGGCGACGCTAACGTCGCGTTACCTTGTGCTTAAAAAATACAAAAACTAATTTACGGAAAATGTTTTTAACTAGATACTGAAAAACTAACAGTTATAGATCGAGTTAATTTTCATATGAAAAACTTTTTGATTTTTGATGCATTGGTTTGTACGAGAAAATTATAAACAAAAACCAAAAATTACTTACCAACTGTTTGGATTCGAGAGAATAAAGTTTAAAGATAGTAAAATATCGAATGTAACCATTATTTCGACAAAAGAAGGACCAAAATAGTTGATTTTAGTAGCATATAGAGTGAAAGTGTTGATATTTACATTAGATTCATTAAAAAAATTTTTTAACATTATAGTTTTGTTTTTTCTATTTCGTTTTAGGACTCAGATTGACGAAATTAGTTTTGATTTCACATGTACATAAGTATTTTGCTGTAAATATTCATGGTGAAAAGCTATTTTTACACAAACAAACGGCCACTTGTCATTTGCAAGAAAAACAATTACGTCTATCATGGTGTGATCGTCTTCAACGTGTTCAAAGAAAAATACTTCTTGATAGGAATTTTTGTTATAGAATTTATTTTACGTGTAGATTTTTTCTAGTATGCTATATTTTGTTCTTGGAACTTAAACTCGTGAAAAATTTTCAAACTATGAATAGTATTTATGGTTTTTGATTAAAAAGTGTATGATGAACAGAGACGTGCACAGGACAGGGCGGTCCTGCTGTCCTGTCCTGCCCTGTCCTGGAGGACAGAATGAGATTTCGATTTTTGCTGTCCTCCCGCCCGCCAGGACGAAGATTACCAACAGGAAAAAACAGGACAGGATAAGGTTTCAATTTTTGTCCTGCCCTGACGCCCGCCAGGACCAAAGTAGCCAGCAGGACAGGTAAGAACAGGACACAAAATCTTGTCCTGTGCACGTCTCTGAATTTGAAAATGATATCGAATAGATTATTTCTCAAATTACTAATAGTAATGTTTATTTTGATCAATAATAGCTAGCGTTCGGACTCACAATTAGTCTTCAGTCACTAGCAAAGCCGGAAGAAATGAGTAACACTAACCGGGATACGGCTTTAACGTACTGTCCTATCGCCCGCCAGGACACAAAAAGTCAGCAGGACAAGCCAGGACAGGATGAGATTTCGATTTTTGTCCTGTTCTGACGCCCGCCAGGACCAAAGTAGCCAGCAGGGCAGGTAAGAACAGGACAAAACATCTTGTCCTGTGCACGTCTCTGATGATGAATTAATTCGTCTTTCAAATTTAGCAGAAATCAAACAAAATATAAAACTGCTGCATATACTTATCAAGTGCACCAGATTTTATATATACATATATTACTGCCAAGTACCTAAATTACGCTAGTTGCTCTATTTCATTCAACCAACTAAGTTACTTTACAGAAACCTGAAAAGTATTCATCGATATGAACTTATAGATAGAACCTATTGATTGAAAAGTTCTCATTTCATAGGTTCATGAATAAAATTCAAGAACTAAACATTTACATTGTTGAATTTAATTAATTAGAGACCGCTTCATAAAATGGGATTCTGTTAAAAGAAGTAAATTCATTTCTAATAGTAATTACAAAGCATTCCTCAACGATTAAAATTATAAAAAGTGACGTTTTAAAGTCCTTGTCGTATCATTTTCACTACTGATAGTGTACTATTAACAAAAACTTTGTATCTATAGGTTTGATGTAGCCTAGGAAATCTAAATAAGCATGATGTATCAATGAAATACTTATTTTATTTTTCATTATAGTGAAGCTGTAGCTCTCGCTAATAAAAAGTTAATTTACGTTGAGTCCCAAGAAATTTTAGATCTTGAATTATAATAATCTACGAGTATATAGGTCCTACGTATATTATATTAGTCATGTGTATGAAAAAATAGATATTTCTTGGTTTTTGAGACTAACTGATACCACAAAATCATGGAGATGCGGCAGAGACCAAAGAGGCTTTAAGACGGAAGGTTATTTCTTTGCGTCTTGATTATTTGAATGTAATGAACACAAATTACTAACTGTAGATATATTCAAACTGAAGTTGAAGTATGAGTGAAGTACAGGTGGAGTACACACACTAGGAGTCTCGCTTTTCCCCCTTGATGCCTATATACTATGCAAGGTGTGGCCATTCGATAGTGATAATGATGACAAAAGTTGAGTCATGAAGATAAATATTATACGTTAAAAATATCTTTCGAGAAGTCATGATCCCGATATTTAGCATTTACTCAAATTATGTCTTGGAATTTAGTATTTTTTCTTCTGACGATTTTTCTTTGGATGCATTATATTGTAATAATCTGCTGAGGAGCATTCATATTTTTTTAATAGTGGATACAAGGACGTCTTTCTTTTATTATTAATATATGGGGAGTACAGAGATTTCTGTCAAAAAGTTACTTCCTGTTTCAAGTAAAATGCATCATTGTTTTTAAACTTCAACTTAGAAACATAGATTATGAGTGAGTCGAATCTGATATCTTGTATTAGAATCGAGGAATAATGTGTGCTACAGAAGCTCTGAAATGAGTTTTAAATGCATCGTTCTCACTTTCAACAAAAGCAAGCTCTTTGAAAATTTCAAAGATTATTGTATATATTTATAACTGAGTAATTTCGAAGATCGAGATCTATTGCTTGTACTATGAATGCAAATCGATAAGAAGACTATCATGAACTACTGTATCGATTTTTCAATAAATTAAATAGATAAAATTCAATAGAAAAGCGAGAAGGTAAATGTTATTCTCACAATCTCTTTGATAAACTTACTCTAAAAGTTAATGAAGTTTTCTTTCATATGTTAAGATAGAAATATACCCAATAATAGACATGTGAAATTCGTGCAAACTAGTGTGCCAGAAAAGAAATCAAAGAAATAGTTAATTTACGAGAACTAATTGTTTGAGATTATTAAGGTTTTAAATAAAGAATTTCTATGATTTGTCTCGTTATCAAACATATTTTTATCGATTGAATTGAGCTAATGAGTTGCCCTGAAAAACTAAGCGATGTTTGTCGAAAATGGAAAATTTAAGATGCGTCAAGAGAAAAACTAGACATATGAAAATGCAAGAATATTGAACAATTTTTAAAAAAATATCTTAAAAAGGAGCGGAGCAAATTCATTGTTTTGCATTAGTGACCGATAGATAAAATGTTAGTAGAATTAAAATTAGTAATCAATCCAGACAGTAGTCTAAAGTTGACGAGCGTTCATTGATTGCCAAACGAATCTATTTATTTAGAAAAGTTATAGTCTTTTAAAAATAATCGCTAAGATGATAGGAATATTTGAAAAAAGTAAACGACAGTGTTGCTATAGGCTCACATCCATAATAAAAGCTATAGAAGTCAAAGTTTGCACTTATTTAGTGGTAAATAAGCACACAGTAATATGCTAAAGTTTCAAACAACTGGCTTTTATTGAATCTGAGAAGGATGAATTCATACCACGGCTTTGACGCTTTGGGAATCACCCGTATTATGCCGAAAACTGTTCTCATTATATATGAATGAGTTCATAATCTTTCTAAAGTACTTCAATAAAATTTACATACATAATTACTGGTATCAATACATATACATGTAAAACCACCAAATTCTTTAATCATTTTTTGAATTGTTGTTTTTTGTAGCATCTTAAGAAAAATATCGAACTTGCTAGTGATGTTAAAAGTATTGGAAACTTGCCTACTATGTTTAGACTTATATACCCAGGTCAATGATTCCGGAGAACGGATACTGCGAGAACAGGCAGGAAAATGCGGGGAAAACCACCGTATCCTGCAGGAAAACACTGGTAATCGCAGGAATCGGAAGAAGTATTCTGGTCGGATATTTTCGGCTGTTTTTCGGTGATTTTCCAATCGGTTCCGGCCTGAAAGCACAGGAAATCGCTGGGAATTCATAGGAAAAATTCCAAAAATTTCCGACCGGAATACTGCTTCCACGTTCCGGTGTTTTCCTGCCGTTTCCTGCCGTTCGAGTTCGACCTGGGTATAGTGGTACATTCTATATTTCTCTTTTTGTCGTTCTGTATTGAATTAGGCATCATTGATCGGTACATTTTATTCATTCGATTATCTACAAACGAATATATGTGCCTAGAAACGACTGAATATCATCATGCTGATGCTATTTCGTTTCGTAATTTACAACGACACTATTAATAAGAGAGTGATGCAACTACTTTAAATTTGAACAACAGAAATCGAGTGATAAATAGCGATAGATCTGAATGAATATATGATTCTCTCATACAGCCGTTATAATATCATACTATATAGAGATGGAATGTCTAGCAAACAAAATCTTAGAAAAGATACAAGAGACAAAAATATGAATAGACGTTGATAATTTATACACAATAGAATCCTATTGTCCGTCAACACGCTTTTGTCAAACATCTTGTCTTTCACCTGAATTTGTTAGATTTTGTGTAAACTCACATATATTTTCGAAGAAAATAGTGAGTGTAAGTTGAATTGTTAAGTTTTTGCGGCTTCCCTGTACCCCACCCACCCCCTCCCCATTACAGACATAAAATATAAAATAACTAACACTTAGATGCACTAATTAGAAACTTTTTTTGGTACAGGTCGATTGCCTATGTTCACCACTACTCGCATCAGTAATAAAAATCTAGTATCACTAATTAGAAATCATTATAATTAGGATTTAATCTCTAATTAATCATCAAAATCTGTCGTTTTTATTATTATAGTTCATAGTTAGGACAGTATTACATTTTTATTATTACAGACATTAGCAACGAGTGTATGCTATCGCTACAAAAGCTAGCAACTACCCAGGTCGATCAAAACGGATCACCGNGTATTTACAAATAGCAACTTTTCCATCCACAGGGAAGCTTTTATCAAATTTTCGGTTATGAAAAAATGTACCAATTCCTCACCTAGCAATACGAAAAAATATAAATTTTTCAACAATATTGATAGCTATATCCTAAATACTGTTTAAACTATTATCATTCACAATATTTCTCAATGAAAACACTAAACACTTCAGCATACTGGCATATTCTAAATAAAACGTTTTGTTATACGTTCTCTCTAGTAATATTTCCTATTGATAGATCCAATAAATTTCAAATGTTAAAAAGGTTTTATTAACTTATTTTTGAACAAAATATAATCTCACTACACGGAAAAAATAAAACTTCTACTTGATCAGTATCTAACTGACCGAAATATGTGAGTTTCACATTTTAGCCCCAACGGGGCTGCACTGAAAAGCTTTTTCGTAAAAATCTTGAGTTGTAGTTGTGAATATCTATGCGCTTATACTCTTATCGTTAACATATATGTTGTAAGAATTATATAAACAATTTTATCTCCTTGTAATGAACTTAAAAAGAAAAATATTTACCGTGCTCACAATTCATTATTATTGGAGTCCGGTAGAGTTTTCAGGTTGGCATGAGTCATCATTTATGTCAACATACTTCTGTTTCACTTTTAAAACGCTTTTCTTACACATGTTGAAGAATGTGAAAAGAAAACTGACCCTGTTTTCCTATAGTTCGCGTCGAAAATCGTGGTGAATCTACTGATACTCTTTTAACGTGTCAGCAGAAAACTTGACATCTGAAAATGATTATCAGTTTTTCTCGACATGTTGTCAGTTGCTCTCGTCATCCCAAAATTGAAAAGTTCACGTACTGCAGTTTGTTTCAAGAGTAAGCCAAAGTTATCCTTTGTAATTTCTTAGCTATACAGAACCTGGTATTGAAATGTGTTGGTGACATATTAGGTTTAATTTATGTTATATAAATATGCCTAGAGATTGTGCGGCAGCTTTGTTCATCACTAGCTGTTTAAAAAGTTTCTCCTCTCTCTTTTGGCGACTTTACATCGACTTGCAATTTTTATAGGAATACTAATGTATTCAGCGTCCCTCATTAACAACGAACTGTGATTTAATCAAGGAGGAAGGTTCATTTCCAGCCATTCGAAAGTCCGAATGAGTTATCTTATGAGAAATTCAATACAATTTGATTGTATGACTTGCAGTTTGAATAAAGTAATTTGAGCAGAGCATTTATGTATTTTATAATCAAAGAAATAAACTTTTATATAATAATGCGGCACAAAACAAAACATGGAAGTAAATAAATAAAGTTGTTATTGTTACGATTATTTATGTTCTTTTTTTGTTCTGGAAAGATGACAAGAAACCATGAAAGGTGGAAGGCGCAAATTAAAAAAAGGAAGAATAAGGCGATGGTAAAATGATTTAGATACAAAGTATGTTTCTCAACGGCACATTCAAACACGGAATGTAAGAATAAGTTAAGTTAAATAGAGTGAATGTGAACAAAGACTTCGTTGTAGCTAAGGAAAACAAACGTACACACGAACGCCAAGTAAAGAAAACGAATATCAATAAGTTTAATATACAAGTGAGAAAAGGAAAAAATAAGAAGAATTTAACTAGATCACTGTTGTTCAAGAAGAGTTAGTTGCTTAGAGCGAATCTATATATTGCACAATGAATGTTCTTAGATAAAACAGGATAGATCAGTAATAGAAAAAAAAATGGATGAAAATCGAAATTGCATTGATTCAATTTTATGAAGTTTTATTTTCATCTGGATGATATCGACTAGGAAATTAGCGTAAATCTCGGAATCATTATTAGTTTTGTTCAACTATTATTTGTAGAAGTTGATAATTTTTGTTCTTTAATTGTTAAATAACATTGACGGCAAACACGTACATTTTTAGATATTTTCATACGAGGTATATCGGTTTCAAAACGGCTACATCTAGATTTTGAAAATGCAAAAGTAAGATCATAGGAGCAGAAATAAAAAGTGTATTACCTAGCACAGAATAATTGTCCACAATGCCTACAAAATATAATAAAATCATTTTTTTAAATTCAATCAATACTTTTTTAGAGAAGAACTAATACTATTGCTATGTATTATAACACTTTCCACTCTGTATTTTGTTCTTGCTTTACTATTCTGTAGTCATAAATATAGAGAAGATTTTCATTCGAGACATTCTTTTGTATCATGATCAATAAAATTCTACTTTTGCATTTTCAACTAATATATATTCTTTTTACCTGCAATGATGTCTTCGTTCAGCAAATGAAAATCGAATTGAACAATCTTTGCATGCACCTACAGTTTCATCTTTAATCCAATGGTCAGCATTTGTTCGACCTGGACTATCACTAACAATCCAACTAAATATTCGACCACGTGCATCACCAACAAATACAGTTTTATGATCTCTATAAAAATAAAAATGTAAAAAATTACAAAAAACAAATCAATCGAATGATACGTACTTTGCAATACCAATGGCTGTAACAGCAGCTGGATTTATATTTTCTTTTCGTTCAAAAGCTGTATGCATAGTTAATTTACCACGATAATTTAATCGACGATCCCATTTAAAACCTTCAAAAAAAATAGGAGAATGAATCGATTGTATTCATTTGTCTTCTAATTTCTATCTAACCTTCTTTTAGATCGAGATAAGTTGACTTGTTGTGAGCTTCATTAGTATTACTTTTCGCTTCAAGTATTTCAATATCAGTCACAACAATAAATTTATCACTACCAGTTGGACTATTTAGTGCTGCTGCAGATGGTAAGTCCAGTGTATCTTTATTTACATTTAGTTCACCATCATCATCAAAAGATGGATCTATCTGTGACGATAGACATGGGTCAGTAGATGCTATAGGACTTTTTCCTTCTCCTTCGTCGGATTCAACATCACTATCAATTGATATTTGGCCTGTGTTTGATTGTAATTTAATTGGTGATGGTTGAGATATTGACAGTACATGTGATCGATCTTCAGTTGATGCCAGTATTGATGGTGATAATGATGATGGTTCATCAACTACTTGATCATAGCCAATAGTCCACATCTAAAAAAAAGTTAAGATTACATTTTAATAACGCATAAAGTCAACTTACTCGAACAACACCATCTGAACTACCCGTTATAATCACATTTTCATCGTCCCATTCATTCATCTAATAGGGGAAAAAAAGGTCTCAACCATGTTTTCATATTTTCTAAAAACCAAAGACTTACCTGCGACATAGCTATGCAAAGAATAGATTGTTGTCTACTATAAGCCATCGTATTAATTGATGCAAGTAATTGCCCATTGATAGTCCACACATAAAGATAACTACCAGCTGCACTTGCAATATCACCCTAGAAAACATGCATCTTAAGCAAAGTACAAGTGCACAAAAGAAAAACGACTTTTATAACTGAAAGAAAATTTTACAATAGATACAATTCGTTTGACTTAACTAAGCGAATCGATACTATGAATTCAAAGAACTTGTTGTCTCTCAATCAACTTACTGTTAATTCATTAACACATATACATGAAATCGATCCTGCATGATTTGACAATTGTCGAATAAAATGTAACCGATTTAAATCCCAAACAATACATGTTTGATCATCGGAACCCGATATTAATATTCGATAAGCTTGTGATGCTGTTAAACATGTTATTATATCATTATGACCAGTAAGACGAGTTTTAAGATGTAAACGTCGATGACGACCTTTACTAATTTCCCATACATTAATTAATGTATTAGTACCGGCTGTTATAACATATTCTGATGTCGGACATAAAACATTCGTTATCTTTCCATCTTGCACTAATTCATAAATCATTAAACTCTAAAAGCAAAAAAAAATAAGTAAATGCAAATTTTCTATTGTGTTTATTTACTTTATCCGAATCAACAGGCATAATTCGCAAGCTTTCATCCGGAAATCCATACTAGAAACGTATAAATTGTAAATTGTAAAGTTCTCAAATATTCTTTACTTACTTGTATACAACGTGTATAGTTGGGTGGTATGATAGCTTTACATTGTTCAAGAGCAATTAAGGATTTGTCTGTCGGAAGAATTAAACCGACGGCAGATTTTAGTTCTTAAAAGTAAAAACAAAATTATATTAGTAGATTTCACTTGTAAAAAAGACTTGGCCATTATACCTTTAATAGGTAATCTTGATGGACGTAGGCTATTCACATGATTAAAAAATAGATTTCTTTCAATACCAATAGAATCCATTAGAGATCGACTTAATTTCTTTTGTGGATGTGGTCTTTTAAAAAGCTAATGAGAACAAAAGAAGACATTTGTATTTGTATTTTTTATGAAAGTCTTTTTTTGAAAATTACTTGTTTAGGAATTTGTCCAAAATTATTTATGAAACCAATGATCTGAAAGAAGAAAACAGAATGATTCTAAACTGTTTTATTCTTCTTGAAAACTACATACAGCTGATCGTTCCAGAGGATCACTTATATCATCGACATTGACAGCACCTTCATAAAATAGATGATGAAATACATTAGTTGCTTCATTAGCTGCTGGTCCTTCTTGTTTATATCCAAATATAAGATCGATCCATTCATTTAAATGTGCCGATACGTAATCACTTTCCAATGCCTAAAATGAAATCTCATTTATCAATAAGTTTATCGACTATTTTTTGCATGTGCCTATATTTTTATGCTCACCATTCGATGAATACGAATGAATTCTCTTGGATCATTTTTAGACCATGCTGGTAAAATAACATCATTCAAAGCTAAACCATTCTGTTTTTTACCTGTAGAAAAAAAAAATTTGTGGTCAAATTTGAAGAAAAAAAAATAAACCTATACCGAGATCAAATTTATTGGTGTTAAGTAAAAAGTCGGGTAAATAAAAAAATTCTGGTATAAGTTCTTTTACATCAGCCATATTATTTTTACTAGCTGAAAACCATGAATCTTTAATACTGTGAAACATTCGATCAGCAAGATCAAAGTGACCGCCCTTAAACAAAAGAAAATGTAATTTAATTTAATCGAGTTGTGCATCTTGTTATTTACTTGTAAACGAAGAAAAACTTGAGCGAATGGTTCAGTTCGAACAAGATATGATGCAACAATCATTGCTGATGAATAATGTGTACCATAATGATAAGCAGGTGTTGAACCTGTGGGATCATCCCATTCGGCATAACGTTTTTGAAATTGTACAAGACGATCAATCGTTTGAGCACCCATTGGTTTCGATAAATCACGAAAAGTAATTGGATTTGTTAAATTTAATTCCTTAAATATTCAAATTAAAAAAAAATTAAAATCTCTCAACACTAAATTTTTTTAATGCATTTTTTCTTTATTGCAAATTTATACATCATCTTACTCTATTCTCCTTAAACTACATATATAGATATTAGAAAATTCTAATCAAAACTTACTTTACTATCATAATCAGCCAGAATCCATGGAAATACTAAAATAAAAATAAAAGGTAACTGTAAGTATGACTTAGCAGGAGACTTATCAAATACCTGGATATTGCATTAAATCATTATAAGATCGTCCAGCAAGCGTATTTAAATGCATTAAATATTGAAAATTACTAATTTCACCTTTTTCCCATCGTTGTGTAACCGAACGTTCGCCCATCAATGAACCAATAAAACTTGTTCTAATAAATTCATGAAAAGAAAACAGATTAGAATATGCATATGATTGAATCGAAATCTTTTATTTAAAAATATCGTGCAAGAACAAGGATGCTTAAAAATTAAAATTATCAAAAGTTATTCATCAATTTAACCATGGGGTTTTATTAGAAATCATTCATGTGTTTTCATGCATCGTGGAAAGAAAAATACAATGATTTCTTACATTTGTTTACGATTTCGAAGATGACTATTATTATAAAATGAAATAAATGTATTAACTGAATTATCTTAATCATTTGTTTTTTTTTAAATTTTATCATAGAATAGCAAAATAAAATAAACGCATACCCTTGTTCGATATTGATACTTCGTCGTTGACCAGATACAGAATGAATAGCTGAATCAGTTAATTCCGTTGCTGAATTCAATAAGCGTTGATAAATTTTATTACGCTCTTTACGAACAAATACAAGTAAATAATTTCGACCATCAGCAGCAAATAATTCCAAAGCAATAGGCTAAAAGTTAAATAAAGAGTTTAAATGCAAAGAATTTTCTTTCATTGTTTATCTACTTGTAAAATATGTCGACGTTTATGAACTTCTTTGATATCTTCATAGGCAAATTTTGAACATTCTTTTCTAAATTGTATCAACTCTGCATTTGTTATTGTTGATGATTTTGGTATTAATGGTACATAATCATTTCGGCATTTATCTAGATCAACGATTTCATTTTTTTCTGTATTATATGTATATCCTTCGAGAATATAGAAATGTTCGCGACCAAATATTAATATTCCTTCACTGCCATCGAGCCCTTCGATACGTGCACAACGAAATGCTAATGAAATCTGTAAAAGAAAATCAAATTAAAGCTTTTTTTAAAATTCTTATTCAAAGAAAATCAACAAACCTTTTCATCGTCCTCAAGTAATCGTAAAACATTTTGATTTGTTTGAGTCATTTCAGCTATTGCATTGGCTGGCGCTGGTGATTCTAATGAATGATCAAAAAGTAAACTTTCAAAATAGATATTTAGTTTCATATCTTACGTTGAGCTTCAGTTTCTGCTTCATCTTGTTCTAGATTAGTATCGATTGGATCTTCTTCTTCTTCATCTTCTTCACCTATAGTTGTTTCTTCTGGTATCATATCATTTGATAGTGTTTTCTTTCGTACTGATAATAAAGTTGGTGCAAGTAATTCTTTTTCTATAAAAATAATTTAATTAAAATTTTTCAAAAAGACTTTAAACGATTACCTTCTTCATTGGCCCATAGTTCACTATCTTGTCGAACAATTGCATCCGTTGGTGAAGTTGGAGATAATTCATTAGATTCTTTTGATGCCATAACAATCAACGCAGTTGATGTAGGTGGTGGAGATACTGGTTCATTTGTTTCTTTTACTGTTGGTGGCGAATTAACAACAGTACTATCAATAGATTGCGGACTTGTAATAAGTAAACGATCGACACGCTGACATTGTCGATCAGCATATTGTTTAGAATCAAATGATACCGGAGGATTAAACTTTCGTTTCTATAAAAAAAAGCATATTTTAGTATAGAATATTTCAAAGAAACAAAAAAGTTTATTCAATCGTTTGAGCAGATTCAACTTTTCCTGAGAATGTCTAACATAATTCACTCACTCCTTAATGTCGATAATATATATATATATAAATCCTTACCGTGTGTTCGGTTGGTAAGCGGTATGGATAGTGTATATAGAAATCTTCATTCAGTACCATTCGTTTACGCATACGACATGGTCCTTCAATAAAATCAAGTTTATATTTTGCCAATGGATCAGGTTCATCAAAACCCCATAAACCACGTTCACGTAATAAGTCGTGTTCAATAGCTAACCATTCTTCATATAAATAACTAAACTTTTGTTCGGTATTCTATAAACAGAAACAGTAAGAAACGATGTTATCTTTTAAAAAAAACGATTTACGTACTTGTCCCAATCGACGATATTCATTATCAACATTTTCTTTAACACTGGAAATGTTGACAGACATCAAAGCCAGGGCGCTCTTCAAATAGACGAAACGAATAAATATATATTTTTTTATACACAATTCTGTTGTTTTTACATGAACGGTTGCTCGATCCAATTTAACTTGTTCACGCTTTACTTTCGTTCCTCGAAATTGATGAAGACTTGATCGGAAACCACCTGTTACACCACCTGTCAATCGTTGAATACGCTAAAAATACAGTTTGTTTTTATTACAATAGTTTTCTTTGAATAATTCACACATTTCGATATCGATATCATTTTATTCGTTGTTTACTGATTAAGTGAAATGTTTAGTGCTTTCTAATGATAATTACATGGAAATTATAAGATCGAAAGGAAAAAACTTCTCATCGCTTCTAAAAATCAATTTTCCCATAGAATTCTTTTTAATAAATACATACCGAACCAACATGCATAATTTGTTGCTGAATTTTATCGGTTATTCTTAACTCTCCTTCAATAAATCTTGTCCAAACTTTTGTTGCTGGTTCAAATAAAGATTCACTAAAAATAAAAATAAACAGAATACCATTCTATAGGCATTGATCTTCTCTGTTCTATTTACCTAACATCTACTAATGTAGTTTTATTTTGTGTTACTAATTGCGAAAAATTCATCTTAAGTATTTCTTCTAATGCCTATAAAAAGAAATCATTTTTTTGTTATAAAAGATGAAATTATTTTATTGTTCATACCGGTTTCTTTTTCATATATAATTCCGACCAAATACGTTGTGCAGCGTTGATAATTAAACTTTTGTTTGGCTGCATTGGTGATACTGGACTATCAAGGCGATGATACCAAGTTGATCGCGAGCTCGAATCCTCACTAAATAAAATTCATATTTTCAATAATCTTTTCTCTTTAGTTTACCTAAATTGTTTTGTTCCTGTTTCGTCAATTAAAATAATTAAACAATAACAAAGACAACCGAAAAATTCGACATCTTGGTTTGAATCAGAAAAAATCAATTGTCGATTGTTCGCTAAACGATGTAGTGCATCAAGCGCAGTCATTTGATCTATAAAAATGATATTTTTAAAATGAAGATTTTTTTCGACCTGTGATTTACCGCCAAATGAATCAATTTTTCGGGATAACTCAAATAATATTGTTCGATTCAATGAACGAAATAATCCATCCATAAATGTATTTGAACCTCGTTTTTTTGCTTGATTGATAACTTTTGTAATGAATTCAAAGATTTGTTTTGGTTCTCGATAATCAATATCCCATATTTTATCGACCATACGTTCAATAAAATGTGTTACATTTTCAAGCAATAATTTATATGATGACATATTAAAATTGTTCGATGGACTGTGCGCTGTTATACTTGACAAGGTACGTGACAATGATGTTCGTCCTTGATCACCACCGAGACCGAATGGAAGTGCATTTGTTTGATCTTCATTTATAGTTGTTGGACATAATTCTGACGTTTCTAAATGCTCAATTATTGATTTAAATATACATTGTACAAATATTTGATAAGTTATATCAGAATTCATATTTTCTGGTAAAGCCTTGATGAAACAAAAAATTAATATTTTAGATAAATTATTCAATAGATTTTGCTAAACATACAGAAAGAAAATAATCAATCGCATTTGGTATACGTGCAGTATTTGAATAAAGACTATCGATGATTATATCTCGAACAATATCAACAGTTGCTCCGCGTAATGTTACATTTGATGTAAATGCAGCTAGTAAGAAAAAGAGAAATTTACTTGAGATAAAGGACACAGAATATTTCAATAATATTAAATTTTATAAGAATAAAAATTAGTTTGAGTGTAAATTCGAAATGTCCATTGAGCATTCAGTTTAATTTTCTTTTGTCTAAAATAGTATATCTGATTTACTGCTTTAAAGACAAGATATCGAGTTGAATTTAGGGCAAAAATCGATTGAACGAGAGAAATCCAGTGTAAATTATTTTTTATACCAATGAGAGAGTCAAGACTTGTATTTGGTGAAACAGGTTCTTCATTGTTGCCGTTTTTCTAAAAACAAAATGAAAATTTCGTTGTTTCTTCTAGAACTATTCCTATGCATTTTACCTGACGAATAATAGTATTTGGTAAATCGAATGATATTTGATTCGACTACAACAATAGAATAGCAATGATATTATGTGCAGATAATGTCACTTACGAGTGCAGGAGGAAATACAATGGCACAAAGAAATGAAAGATATTCAACAGTTTGAGCATAATTAAAAAATTCACATTTTCGACGATATAATTGATGAAAAAATTTTAATACAGCTAAACCATTTTGTTCAGCTTGTTCATTTTCCTAAAATTCAAAATAGATTTAGAATAAAAAATACAACACCGATTTTAATTTTCTCATTTTACTTGTGAAGCTAAATTGCGAATCATTGCAAGAAGTATCGGACAAGCATCTAACTCATATTGCTGTTGAGTTGATGATTGCTGTTTCGATCCTGATGCACTTGAAACAGACGGACTAGTAGCAAGTGGATTTGGAATATTTACTAATTTTAATAGTTTTTCCATAGTAAGCTAAAAGAAAATAATCAAAATATTTTTCGATCTATTCTTTTTCCGTAGATAAGTCATTGATAAGATTTTGACTTAGTGAAATTATTTTAAAATTGGATTTAGAAATGGACAGAGAAGCTCTTTTAGGTAAAAGTCTCGATATAGCCGAGCTGAGGTTATTTACTTTTATTTATGTTAACCTAGCGGTGAGTGTATGACAGTTCGAATACATAATGTTTTATTTCCAACAATTAATTACTGATCGTATTTTCGACCAGAACTGTCATATCTACGTCGGTTTGCTTTCTGTATATTCATTTGATGATATTAAATAAAATCACGTATTTAATTATTCGGCAAAAGAAATTTAATACATTGCCAACAATTTGTTATTAGCCCGTCCTTCAATTTCCCTCATTCCATCACATTCTACTATGATTAACATATTAACAACATAGAACTGCCGTATTATGCTGTAATTCGAAACTTTCATTTCTATTCTTTTATAATGCAAACAATGTGTTTTTAACAGTTCAGAAATTGCTACAAAATAAGGTTCTGCTTTCTTGGAATTCAGGAGAATTATCTTGGAAAATGTGTGAGATTCAAGTAATCAGTATAGATTACAAACTCATTTTTAGTCTAGTATGAGCTTTCCAATACTTGGCTACAACAACAGAAAATAGAAAAGTAATGAGTTTAAACTATTTAATAAAACTGACGGATATTAACAGAATTTTTCATCGATAGAATACGACGTTTGCGCAGATTTAAAAAATATGTATGCATTTAAATGTACTATAGTAATCAATAGGTTAGCTCTATCTAGTTCGTTTTCTTCATTCTCCATCGGCTTAAAATCGACATCATTTTAGAAAATCTCTCTAACCTCTGTTTGTTCCATCATATCATCGGCTGGTATTTGTCGAAAAATCAGTGACGTTAATAGATAGTAAATTGGTATAATTTCTGATCGTTGTGCGAATATATATTGCAAAAGAACAAAACCAGGTAGAAGTATTGATGCATTCGTATTATTTCCGAGTCCTGCTGTTGGATCAATCCCTAATCCAAACGATGCCTTATTCGCTGTTCGATCATTAAATACATTGATCCAACTTTCATTAATTGTTGTCAATGGTGATAATGGTGTTGGATTATTTGTACTTGATGTTGGCGATGACATTGTAATTCCAGTCGTAGTTGTTGTTGCTGTTGTTGAAGTATTTGTCGTTGATGGATTAATAAGTAGCATAGCATTGTCATGAAAACGAGTAAGAGCATTTGATGATGATAGAAGAAACGCAATAAGAAATTTAGTTGTTAAAATAATTGTTCGTGGATGAAGATTTGATTGTAAGAAGAGAAGAAGCCAATCGTAGCCAAGATGAGTTAAAAATTCATCAGTTAAACTAAAAGATATGCATAGATTTTTATTTTTCTTGAAACTTTATAACTCATACTTTATCTGCGAACGTTTTTCTTCGGCTATTGTTTTAGCTAACATTTCCAAAAGAAAATTACGTAGAATTATATTTTGTATACCAACTGATAACTCGTCCATGTCTAAGATATTACAAAAACAATTAAAGCAAAACTAAATCTTTCCCTTTGAAATACTTACTTCCACTAATATTAGCATTCTTTTCTGATATGGAACTTGATGGAAGAAGATAAACAAGAAATTGGCCAAGTCTAGAAATAAATTCGTTTGAATTTTCTTGTTTTTTTAAATAGAAATCTATCTACTTCAATATATCATTTGTATTTTTATATGTAACAAGTAATACACGTATAAGACTTATAATAATTAAGCGTGTAGATTCATGTAATGAGCCATCTTTAAGTAGATTTAATAGACGTGACATTAAATTAATTTTTTGTGATAATTTTTGATTCATCATTAAATTTTGTGTATCACTAAAATAACAAAAGGAAAATCGTTACTAGCAACAAAATCAAGATCTAGTTTTCTTACCTCGTTAAAAATACATCAAGTAAATGATCAAACAAAGATTTTTGTATATCAACGCTAGCACCTTTCCAAATCTAAAACATTTAATAATAGAAAAATGTGCCACTCAAAACAGAAAAAGGTTTTACTTCAAATTCGCATAAAATATGTTCGAATGCAGCCGGATTTGTTATAGCTGTTGATTCTCGGATTGTATCAATTGTACCAACAAGTGTACACGTTAAATGTAATATATGACTATTGATGAGATGACGTTTTTTTAGAAATAGATACCCAAGCATCTAAAGAAAACTATTTTGCAAAAGAAAACGAAAAGAATTTTTCTACTTGATAGGCTCTTGTTCTTAGCAATTCATTTTGTATTTGTTTATTTGATTTTAGGATACAAACAAATGCTTTAACAGATGCATAGAATGATTCAATATCATTGGACATTGCAATTAAACCAAGCATTACATTTGGACCGCCAATGTGTTCAATAGTTTTTGATACAGGATTCGGAATAAATATACGAACACCTATAGAAGAAAAGCTTTTTTTTTCAATACCACATTTCAGTTAATGCAATAAACATGCTCTTTTTGAGGACTTAGTCGAAAGAAATGAAAGATAAATTTTTCGGGACTAAGATGTAACGATTTAATTTTGAAGGTATTTCAATTAACGTTTTCATGAAAAACTTAAAGAGTCGTCGATTATCATTTAAAAACAAACGAGCAGTTTTCACTGTCATATTTACCTAAATAACCAATGACTACACCGCCTATTGTCCGAGCAGGACCACTGTACGGTGCTGCAATATTATATAAAATGCGTATAGGTACTGTTGATTCATTTGTTGGCATATTTAACTAAATGAAAATAAATCAAACATATTACATATTGACACCATAATAGCAAGCAAAATCATATCTGACAATTCTAAATAAAATATGAATTTTTTAAACTTCTAGTGAACAGCAAAATCCACGCAGAAACAATTCAATGTTGTTTACATTTATATTCTTTTAGTTTTTAGTTGGGACTTCAACATATTCACTATTAATTACAAATAGTCACAGCGATTTTCGGCGATGAAATGTTATGAGACTCATTTATTATCGATCATAAACAAATATATTATTGCTTTCTCTATTATTCGAAATGCATCCATCAGTAGTTCCTATAGAAGAATTCTATTAGTCACGATCGTTAAGAGAAATAAATTTCTTTTTTTTTTCGATGCAATAACTTTAGTTAATCCATCTTTTAATATAAGTATTTTTGATTAAATTATTATTTTATATAGAGATCAGACTGACTTGACTTTGTGATTTATTTTATCAAAAATACTATCTTAATTTTATAGAAATACCTGTTTAGCAATTAATTTTGCATCGTTTTTATTGTAAAGTTTTTTGAAATGTGATAAAGTCGTTTCGAAAAAGCTTGCTGGATGTAAACCAAATATAATTCTATCTTCGGGAAACAATGGTGAAAATACATCATTTAATGGATCTAAAAAATAGAAAATCTGCGTGAATCGAATTTCAACACATGTTTCCACATACCAATACAAACAGCTTGAAATGAACCAATATAATTTGGACCAGCTGCATACATAGCAACGATAATTTGTGACGTCAGAATTTCATCAATAAGAAAACATGGACCTTGACGCCATTGTACACTTGAATGTACTCGTTGCATTGGTAATGAACCGATATAAGCAAATGTAGAAATACTATTGCCAGGTGGAACAGCCATATTAGTTATATAATGAAGCTAAACAAGAGGAAAAAAAGTCAAATAAAGTACCCTGTGCTCTCAGATTATCAGTAATTAACAATAGTTTACTATGCTCGATTCAATTCACACTCAGAACTTTTATCATTCGGAAATATTTTGCTTCTGATAGATAGAAAATTTACTTTTTGTACAGCTATTTGTTTTCCATTGATATATAATGTAACAGCACTATTCTTGAGCATTCCTTTGGCCCAAACAAGTGCTATATGTGTCCATCGTTGTTCGATCATCATCTCGGAACACGTGAATTTTACTAAACCATCGGATTTAATATCATCTGTATATACGGCATCGTTATGGCAGTCTTTAAAAAATAAAAAAGGTTGTAGTTGTTTTGTTTTCAAGTTTAAAGTTATCTCTTTGATTACCTTGAAATGGATGTTCTTGTGTTGATACTAATAAAGATTTATCTTTTGGATGAATATAAACTTGTAAAACAAATCGATAGTCTTCCCGGTTAAATGTATTTCGAATAACAGATAAAAGACGTATTGGATGTACATTATCTTTAATAGGACCAAATTTTTCAACATAAAACCATGTTGAATAGGCCATTCCATATTGCGGTGGAAATGTTCTCTCGCCACCATTGGTTAATGTCATACCACCTTGTAAAATAATGTCATTTGTCATTGTAACCATACCAAAATTACCAACAACATTGGTCGATGATGTTACAGATTGCGGACTTAAACATGGCAATAATAGAGCACCAAAACCTTCAATACCCATGTTGAATTCAACAAATGATGGTGAAATTAATGAAGATGTATTTGACATGATTCCTGTTGGAGAATTCGATGATAATAATGCTTGAGTATCACGACGTATATCACGTGATGTGGTCATTGAAACAAGACATTTTATTCGATTCAATGGTACAAATGATTTATTTATTGAAATCGAATCTTTAGAAGAGTTCATTAATAATTTTGGACTAAGAATTGAATCAATACCCATACGAAGAAATTGTCTTGAAAGAGAAATCAATAGTTATTAGTTATAAACGATGAACAATAGAAATAGTGTAAATAATCGATGTAGTTATTACTAAAATTGCAGATTTTTGAATATCAATATATTGTGAAAAGTCAGTGTTTTATAAGCTTTTCAAACTTTTTTTGAGGATACAATCATTCGTAGAATCCATTCCTACTCTTTCATATTTTGCTGACATAACAACTGAAAATAATCTATGAGCAAATCAACGACTCTCTCAATATCCCTTGTCCAATAGCACCATATCTAAATTGTGGCATTAAACTCTTCGCATAATTGTCCAGTGTACTATACGGAGAGTTCAAGCAATTGAACGTAAAAACTCTGATCGAGTCTGATCTTCAGTTACAGCGATTTTTATTTGTCATGAAAATATCACGCTGATTAATTTGCTAGTAGACACTACTCTAGTTTGTAAGCTAGCCTGATGTTAGAAGTGTTTTTCCTACTTGGTAACGGATAATGTTACTAAAAATAGTAGCATTCGCTTATCTTGCCCGTACTTATAAGAGAAAGCTTTGCACAGCCTTCTAATGCTAAACCAAAGCACTCTAGTTTGTTTGACTTAACTGATGCAAAAATATTTTTCTCGTTTTCATCGTAGTGCTATTCATGTTCTGTTTTTATTCTAAGCCTCTTTTACCTCGATGTTCGTACTGGTAGAATAAACGTAGCTAATCGTTCAAAAACATATTCTACAGATGTATGTAAATGATGATTTTCATTTTGTAAAGCAATTTCACATATATATAAAATATGTTGAGAAAATCCATAGGTAGCCATTATTTGTAAATTCCGATCATATTTAAGTAAATTTTTTAATGTTAGCATTAAAAAATATTGTAAACGATTTGAATACTAATATGAAAACAGAAACAAAATTACAAAGTGTTCATTATATTTTTCTATTTACCTGTTCGTCAATCATTTTTGGTATGCAAGAAATAATTTGCAGAAAACAAACAATAGCACCTGGATAAACAATAATAGGTTCTTCCATGTAAGATGTAAATGCTGCTGATGTTCGTGCTGTTGGCATATTAAGTGTAATTGTCCGAAAAAGTGGACTCGATGCTGGTTCATCATTATTATCCATCGATGTTCCTTGTTTGGCAGGCTCATTTTTCAATGTTGAATTTATTAGTGACCTTGATAGAAAAACAAATTAATACAATATTTAACTAAAGAGATCCAAATATAGAAATTCTATTTTTTTTTGTAAAAAGTTCTAAATATGATGCATGCAGATTAAAATCATTCCGCATTAGTATAGTTTTTTTTTTCAAATTCACTTCTCATGCACTCTTACTGAGAAATTTTGTCAATGGTAAAATCGTCAGCAAAATTTGAATAACTGAATAATTACATAGATACATATAAATCGAATATTATTATAACTTACTTATCAACACAATCGAGTGCGATATCATGAAAGCATCGTGCTATGTGACAAGCATTAATGAGTTCAAGAGGTAAATCCGTTGATGCAACAGCACGTTCATCAAGTGAATAGAATAGTTGTTCGAATATATCATAATTGTGTTTTGATGCATAATCAAATTTCGATAACGATGTGCTATCAGTAAGACGCATTTCATTAGTAAAACAACCAAGTAATTTAATAGCATCAGATAAACTTTGCCAACGAACCTGAGAAGAAGAAAAAAATTTCGAGTTCGAATGAGGTCTATTTTAAACGTCTAATTCGATGTTTGATAGAATATTTTGGAATAGAAATTTAAAAATAAAATTCTGCGATTCATGACAATATAGAAAGACATTCCTTTAGCAAAGAATTATTTATTATGACAAAATTCTTAAAAGAACTCTGAATTAGGTCGTTTTAATACATTTAGAGCATCAATTTTTAAAATAACATCTGATCGAAAAAACTCCAAGATAATTTCATATTCAATTAGGCAATAGCTACCCTTGTAAATTTCGAATCATATAGCATCTCCTCGCAATAACTCGTATTGCCAAAGACTAATTGGTAATAACTAGGTTTCCTTTTCTACATTGTCGGGAGCACCGTGAAAGCAAAATGAGATTATTAATTAATTCAATTTATATTTTATTCAAGACATATGACTTCTTTTTAAGTTATTCTCTATTTCACCAGTGAAATGACTTTGTCTAAATTAAATTATAGCAGTGTCATCATTAGCATCTCTATAAACTATTTCAGTATCAAAAAGGGTCAAGGATTAATTAATCGATATATTGTATGTTTCTGCATTGTAGAGAGCTTTTCAACCTCATAGAATAAATGAATAAAACAGCTTGCATCATTAGTTCCTTATTGAAGTATATATGTGTGTTTCCCATAATCAACTACTCGTTCTCGGGTTATTGCAAACAAAGAGAATTTCTTGAATAATTCATCAAGTAATTAATCACGCTTTGTTTGATATACAGACCTCGTTTTCAAATATACGCGCATTGCCAGGTTCAAAGCGCATTGCTACAGTTAATGTATTGAGTATCAAACGAATAATAGAGAGAATTTCATGACGAGATACTTAAAAAGAAATACAAAAGCATAAATATATTATAAATTTATAGTTTTATGCAAACAAAAAGAGCCTACCTGTTATCCATGGATTTTTCGGCGGTACAGCAAGACAACCTTCCATGGATATCAACAATGAAACAATATAGACAAAACCACCGACTTTTCGAAAAACGGTACGAGTTCGATGACTTTCACGAAGAATATAAAGAAATCCCTTTAATAAAAATAGAATATGAAACAGTTTTTATAAGAAAATTCTTTTTTCTTTGAATACTTTAAGTATAACTGATTTCATTTCTAATTCTTCTAATTTCGCTGTATGTATAAGTCCTAATAATGTTCCTGTATCATCTTCACCTCCAGTACATAAAACAAGATGAAGTACAACTGTTAATGCTGCTACTCGACATAATCGATATGGAATTATATTATGTGCTAATCTTGCACCACCATGTTCTCGAAATATTTCTAAAATACAAACGGATTATTACAAATGAAATAACGAATGGATTCAGCAAATAAAAATTATTTACTGGCATTTTTTTGATTATGTGATAGAAGTAAAGCTAATGCTTCCATAACCAAAAAACCTAGTTCTTTTTCTTCTTGGTTCATATTATCACCTTTATCTAAATAGGATCACAATTTTTTTGAAATATATCCAAAGAAAAATATTTATTTTTCTACCATTTGGATCTTGTATTGATTCTTTAAGTAACGTGGCAAAATGATGTAAACGTGAAATAAGTACTTCAATAAAGCCCAATTCTCGAAGAGCATCTTTTAATACATTATTAAATTTCAGTATATGTATAAGGTATTTTACACAATTCTTATGGCTTTGTACACAGCTGAAAGAAGAAGAAAAAAAAAGTTCACAGGTATAATTTTCTGAGCAATGGAAAATAATTCTCTTTGATCCGACGACTAATTAAAACTAATCTATAGAATAGGATCTCGTTATTTTCGATGTTGTTACTAACAATTGCTTTGCCAACATGTTCCTAGACAACTTTCGGGTAATATTTAACATTAAATTCATACACATCCCCTCAAGTGTTCGTGTCCCAATAGGATATTATAGTTAATATAGAAGTCAACCATATCAAAAGACAAAATTTACAACAAATTTATTGAACTAGAAAAAGTCATTTTGTATGGATTCTTGATTAAGATAAAATATGAAATAATCTCAAGAATAAAATCTTTTGATTTTCTAGATTTAAAAATCATCGACGTGTAAATAATATTTTATTATAATTATAATTCAACGTACCTATGCGATTTAAGCATTATAGATAAATTGACAAGTTCTCGATGTGGAATAAATTTAAGTTGAAATACAATAAATTCCAGAAGATCATAAATTTTCAATTGTACATCATTAGATTTATTGTAAAGTACTTCAGTAATCGGTGAAAGATTTTCACCGCAAATAAAATAATTTGCATTGTCCGCTAATATAATACTGCTTATGGTATCGAATACTATGTTGACAAGAAATGGATGAGTCGACTAAGAAAATAAAACAAAATTAATTATTATTATTATTATTATTATTATTAACATAAATGAATGACAAACTTGTTGAAAAATAGATTGAAGAATTGTAAATGCTGACGTATTACGTACTATAAAACCTAATTAAATAAAATAAATAAAAAATGTAAGAAAGTTGGCTTTTTCTTTCTACCGGTTTTTTTTGGTTGTGGCAGAGCAAAATTTGGAATATCAATAATTGTTTCGGGTCGACCAGATAATTTAAGCTCATTATAGCCTGCATACGTGAAATCACCGAGTAATGTAATAAAGCGTGCAAATAATTTTTCAGATTCATCATTGATCCATTCATTTTCAAGTCTATTGAGAAAAAAAAGAACAAATCGTTCTATTGATAACTATGTGTTTAAAAGAAAGCTTTATTTTTAGTTATAATCTAGTCTGATTAGGTTTTCTTTCCGTTAAATAAAATAGTCACGTCCGAAAAAGCTTTCCTAATAGAATTATGAATGACAAACAATAGGTCGGATTTTGATTGGCTGAGATATTTACCTCAAAATAATATCTTTTACGTGAACATAACAATGTGCAAGGCGAAAATCATCTACAAGAATCGACGATGACAAAGCGGATTCAATTATTAAACTTATTAATGTTTCATAAACACCAGCTATTTCGATTAATGATAGATCACACGTTGCTCGACGTAAACTATCGACACATTGTGATATACATCGCGCACCTAATCAATGAGAAATAAATGTTGTATTTTTCTTCTTTTCATACTAAGAAAGAGTGAAAAATAACTCATTTACTATGAATGCATTGAATAGCTGCTTGTAATGAATGTTTTCCAATTAAAACAAGCATCTCGGATGCTTGCATCCTCCATGGTTTATTTCGTTCGGGACAATTACTTGATATAGCGCTAAATAATAATAGAAGATCATCACGTCGTGTTAATTCGTCTACACATGAATTTGACATAGCAATACGTGATAAAAGCTAAAGAAAACAAAATTCTTCTTTTGTTTCAAATAAAATATTGGAAAAATTTTACTTGAAAAAATATTTGTTGTAGAAGTATACGTTTTTCTTTTGGCGATATTGCATCGCTAGCTGAATGAGTTATTGGAATATCTGGTAAATCAAAAAATAAATATAAACATTTAACGAATGTACTCGGTAAAGATGCTTGTGCAAATTTATCGATGATAATATTCGGTCCTGTTGATAATAATTTAAGTGAACGAAGTAATGACCATCCTGATAAGGAATTTGTTTCTTCATTGATTTCAAGATAATCGATAATAGCTTGACTTGCTGCGCTTGTATTAGGCTCTTTGTCAGCTCGCATTCGTATTTCGTAAACAAGTAATTTAGCAAGTGTTAAAGTATAATCATGTAGTTCAGGAAAACGTTCTTCCCATTCATTATTCGTAAGCACGCTAAGAACTTTAAGAACCATTGGTAATGTTGAATAGAGGCGTTCATTTTTCTCTTGTTGTGTCCATTGAATTTTTGGATGCTGATATTCATAGAAAACTTTTCGAAGATGCGTTAACGTAAGAAGAATATCTTGTGATGTAGTATTGTTGTTATTTGATAAGATTTCTTCCGATGATCCCGTTGTTGGTGACGATGATGATGATGCTCCACCATCACGTTTATTTATTAAAGTTTTCAATAGTTTATTCATCGTTATGTATAGTCATTGCTTTTTATTTTTTGACTTCGAGAATATTTCTATTAATTACTAAAGAAAAAGAAGATAACAGATAGATTTTAATCCGGATATTTTAAGTAAAAATATTGATTAAACATCTAGAGAAATGTCAGAGACAGTGTTTTGCTTTTCTTGACGAGTACTGAGCAAGCCCGTTAGCGTCGAATGAATGGTACCGCTCGTTCATCCATTTTGATTAAAGAAGACGCAGAAGAAGAAGAACAAGAAGAGAAAAAAACTCAGATTTTCTTATTCGATGCATTTGCTACTCAACAGGACAATACAACATAAGATGTCTCTGGTTGACAGATGCTATCGCTATTATATAAATACACGATGGCAAAATCTACAAGATATATTGAAAATTAACTTTTGGCAATGTTGGCTTAATTAGAACTGTCTTGCTTTTTTTTTCTATGAGAAGAATTATTTAATTTATTCTTTAAATAAGATATTGAATAATACAAAAAAAAACCTTTTTAGTAATGTATTTCATATGAAAACCAAAGAATTCTCAAAAGAAGAACATAATACTGATACAATATGTTCTTCTTTATATCGTATTTTAATTTTTTAAGTAATTCAAAGGATGTATTGAGTACACCATAGAAAAGCCGAAAAGACATTCTGTATTGTGGCATCATAACATAGATCATAGGAAGCGTCAGAGTCACAAAAAAGAAGAATTATAAAATGTCATCTTTTCCGTTTAACAACTTAAATGAAATACCCTTTAAACGCAACATTACATTAATAAGACCATCGTGATACATTGAAGGTGCAGATACAGCCGAGCACTATTATCAATAGGAACATTGTAGGACCAACAGAATAATTTCGTGGAGATATCGCCTTCTTCAATATGTTTCTTTAGAAAATTCCCCTTTCGGTCTCACTACACTGCCAACCATTTATTTTATCATTGATTACTAATAAAATTTTGTTGTTTTTTTCGTATCCTAAAGTATCAGGATAGTCTCCATTGTAACGTTATAGACGAAAAAAATATTCAATTTAAAATAATAAAAATACGAGCTATACGAATTTATTTCGGGGTGGGATACTTTGACTTCTTCTACGCAATCATCGTTGGTCTTGTTCGCGTGCAATCTTTTTTTCGTATCTTTCGAGCGTATTGCTTTTACGTAACGACTAAATATGAATAAGAATGCAGTTCAAATCGAGGCGGTCTATGATGTAAACAATAGGATGTTCATATTTTGCATTTGACATAGAAAGCTTTAACTAATTATTGTTTTTTGATTCGTACTTGTGAGCAATATGAAATAGATGAGTACTCTACGAGCTTCTAACTCTAGCGCTAACAAAGAACAGTGTGATCCTCTCGAGACTTCAGTGTTAACGTATATGAAATTGTCATCAATTCAACTAATAAAAATATTGATGCAATATTTTGTTCGTTACTATCATCAGACATTAAATGATCGAGTATCAATACGATACAGTTTTTGTTTCTCTTCGACATCGTTGAATGAACTTTTAAATGCGTTACTATACTGATTTGATCAAATTATTTTAAAATTATTTGATATCATTGAAGATACTTTCGATGGATTTTATTCATTTAGAAAGATTGCACACTAATTGTCACACACTTCGATGAACTAATCAGTTTTTATAAAATTCGATACTTCAAAAATGATATCTTCGGACAAACTTTCTGTGCGTAAAGAATAGTGCTTTCCTCTTTTTTTTTCTGTGATATAATAAAATATCAAAGCTATGACGCCATCTAAAAAATGACTCTACAAATAAACGTATAACTATTGTCTAGCCAAACAGAAAATGATAGAAGACAATGAAAGAAAAACCTATCAATCAAACTGTCATGGTGCATTAAACATTTTCATAGATGAAACTGATGTCATAGGCAAATTTCTTTTTTCGTATTAAATCAGCTACATCAAAGAACAAAAGTATATTTTATGAAGATTAAATTCAAGATTAATTCTTTTGTTATATATGAGTAAATAAATAAATATATATATATATATGCTTAATGTATAATGAAATGAAAAGGTTAACAATGCATTAAAAACCTTCGATTGTACACAAATGATACTAGTTTTGATTTATATTACCCTTGTCAAACATAGTGATCATACTTACGAACCAATGTCATCAATGATTGTATTCTATTCGGTCCTTAAAGCCCAGCTATACTTTGATCGGCTATCAGTAGTATGAAAGTATCGTCTTATCTGTTTATTCGACTTGTATATCCTTTTCTTCTTATTCAACGCACAATACAATACAATACGCAAGCGTACAATTCAAGTAGTATATGCTTTCATTCATGTTTATCATTTGATCTACAGTGGCGTCCTACGAAAATCGCATGTTCAATGAGACAGGTATACTTGCTTTTAATGCAGGCTTGGCGTGTCTTTACGTGTGTATATTCACTCATTTATGCGAAACATTTTCATCCTTTTTTCATTACTATCATACGCTCGGTTGCATTTCTATTGCTCTCATCACACACATACTCATTTTAACGCAAAACAGGTACGTAGATGAACAGGAGGTTCGTTTTCGTTTATATGCACAACTTTTTCTCACAATGTACATAAGGTGACCTTCCTCAACACAGAGACCACCACATTACTTTTTCAATTTCAAAATTAGCATCACGCTGCATTCAAATAGTCAATGGGTCTAATCAACAATTAGACCGAAGAACAAAAAAACGAGACACACTCACACAGTTGACCGTTACCCAATTGCATTCGGCACAAACACAATAGGACATCTATAAATAGATCAACTGCTCGGTTATATTCAAAAGCGTTCATCATATTAAAGCAATCCATTTATTATCAAAATGGGTACTCGGGTAAGAGATATTATATATATATATATATATGAGCCAGTTCACATAAGCCACGACCGATCACCATAGAGAGGTGCTCAATGAAGTTCCTAGATGTGCGCAAAATCTATCCCGCCTTGTAGAGTATGTTGTTTTAGACCTCGAACCAAATTTTTAGCCTTATTGAAGAACTCCCTGTCGAGATATGAAAACAATAGAAAAATCACCTTCCAAATTGGTTTTCTCTTAAGATATGAGTGGGATGGTGCTCAAAATAACTTTTCAAGCACTACGAAGCTGAGGTTCACCCAAGGGTGCAGTCAAAAGCTTGGGACCTCTGATTGAACAAAATCGGGTGTGGCTTATGTGGACTGGCTCATATATCTTATTTATTTGTCCTGGATAATCACCAAACGTCATTGAATCACATCAAAAGGTGAAAACTAGAAATGCAGATGGATTCCGAAAACGAAACGAGAAATGATTCGGTGCTCTTTTTTTTATTTCAAAACATATACAAATATATCATCCAAATAGCGATAAAAATAATTAAAATTAATTTTCTTCATTATCACCACTATCAGATATAACTTGTTCATCTTCAGACAAGTCATCTTCTTTAAGAATTGTTGCCTTGCGTTTTCGTCCGCGTCTAGAAAATGTTCTATTATCAGTATTCACTGTTGTTGCCACCGGTGCTGTTATTCGTGCGCTACGTCCCCGTTTAGACGACGACACTTGTGATGTTGTCGTTGATTCATCACTTACAGTCGTTGTTTCTGTTGGCATTTCAAGTAAACCCGATTTAAGTTGTTCACGTAAATCTAGATAAACTTTTTCTAATAAAATTGAATCTGAATAAATAGTTGATGTTTCACAATTGAATGTTTGTGCATTTTCTACGAGTAATTTCATGTCAGCATCGAGTTGTTCCAAGTTGGAATAGCGATATGTATCGATTTTTCTTTTTATGCGTTGAAAATCAATTGGCTCTTGAATTATTTGATAATATAATGGTAATTGTTTTTGTCCCGGTAAACGTATAAATACTTGTGCTAATTGACGATCATCATCTGTACGATAAGCTAATAAATGATCAATTAACACATGACACTGCCCTGCTGTTTTAGGGTCAACAGTTTCTAAACGTTTTTTCATACTACCACGTTTAGGAGTAGTATATGGTTGATTTGATGTTGATGGGATATCAAATGATGAACGCGTCTCACTTTCATCAAGATCAATACTATTATTGTCTTGTAATGATGAAATATGTTTACGACTTTGTTTTTGTAAACGTCTTTGTTCGACTGTTTCATCTAGATTACCTTCTTCTAATGCTTGTAAAAATTCGCGTTCAGTTAAATTATCACTATAGTCAACATCTTTACGTTGGCGACGTCCTTTACCGAAATCTTCATCATTTTCAAGAGTTTTTTCCACTTGATCAACATCTCTTTTCAACCAGTCAGGTAGTTCATCGTCAGTCATGAGACGATTTATTTTCATTTTACGATGAACTAGTGGTTTTTCTTGAGTAAAATCAACATCTTCTTCATCTTCCAGTTCTTCTAATAATGATGGAGTTGTTTCATCGCCTGTTGTCAGTGTTCCTTCTCGAGTTGCTTCATCGTCACTAGCATCTAATGGTGATATAGGAGTTTTACTAAAATAGGATTGAAAAATATAGATGAGCGATTAAAAGAATTTTTGTTTTTATTTTTGTCTTAATACCTTGTCTTGTTTGTTTGATCAGTTGAATCTTCATTGTCACTTTCTTTTTTACGTTTATTACGAGACACAGACTTTGTATTTTCATTTTTTTCTAATAATTCCCATGCTCGACGTTCATTGGCTCCATCACCACCGCTACCAACGCCATGAAGAGACTCATATTCACGTCTTGCAACATCCATACGATTAAATAAATTGAATTCCTGTTCCGTTCGAGCAATCATCTAAACGAAAAAAAGTTCAATCATTGATATTTGCAGGGCGAAAGAATACTTTAAGTGTCCTTGTAGGTTTCACTAGTTGAATTAGAAGAAGGGTTTTATTTTATAGTAATCGTATGACCATGAAATCATCGAGAACCTGGATGGTCGACCTTCGATTATCAATAGGTCTTATCATCAATCGAAATAAACAAGATATGAACTTGGACATATATACTCGTATCAAGAAATCACCATACTATATGAATGCAATTCTATTAAAGTAGACCACGATACTATCAAGGTTTTTAACACTTAAAAACCATAAAATTATTCTAAATGTAACTTTAGGGTTACCATTATCAACTATATAACACATCTGTAGATGAAATTTTCAATTCGAAATTCGATTATCTAAGTTTTTATATTGTCAAATCTCTTCTTAATAGAAGAAAGAAAAAAGCTTTTTGATCTTACCTGATTAAGTATTTCATCGTCTGGAATATCTTCATCGTCATCTTTCAATTCATCATCGCCTTCAATTAATTGTTCGAGATAATTTTGTCGTTCGCTTGATGTTGACGATCGATTGAATTTTCCAGCTTGAATAACTTTTTCATCGACATTCAATTTATATCTTGCACAAGCTAGGATTTTTTCTTCGACCGTATTCACAGTCATTAAACGTAAAACTCGCACTTCATTTTTTTGTCCAATTCGATGTGCACGATCTTGCGCTTGTTGATCTTGATGTGGATTCCAATCGGAATCAAATAAAATAACTGTATCAGCTCGTTGTAAATTTAATCCGACGCCACCAGCACGTGTCGATAGTAAAAATATAAAATAATTTATATTATCATCATTGAAATCTTTTAACAATTCACAACGATCGTCAGCCTTTGTTGTACCATCTAAACGTATATATGAATAATTTCGATAGGAGAAATAATATTCAAGTATATCCATCACAGATGTCATTTGACAAAATAATAAAATCTTATGCCCACTTGCTTTTAATTTCGGTAATATACGATCGAGTAATTCGAATTTACCCGATACACGAAATAGATCAGGCCCATTTATAGCCCCAGTTTCACAGCCGAATGATTGCGCTAAACGTTCTTCAATCTCATGAAATAAAAATGGATGATTACATATTTTACGTAATTGCATTATTTTATTCATCAAAGCTCGACGACCACCTTTACCATTTTGATTTTCAATAATTAGTGTACGATTTTTTGCCATTGCATGATAGAGACAACGTTGTAAAGCAGATAATTCACATTTTACGATATATTCCACCTATAAAATTATTATAGGAAAAAAAAACTTTAATAAGCAGACAACTGAATATATGAGAGAAGAGGAATATCTGTAAGAAATTGATGAGGGTACCATAGAAAATAGATCGATGAAGAAATGTTCACAATTTAAAATTCGTTTTTTTTTGTGCATTTAGAACTAGTGAGTAAATATCATGAAGCTCCTCCTAACAAATCAAATAACGATATAGCTTTTCTTACAAATCATTCGAATACTATGATTTAGTGTATTATCTTTAATCTGATAGAACTCTCCAGAGAAGATTTTCAGTAGGTTTTAAAAAATCGTAAAATACTACTAACCTTTTCTGGTAATTGTGATTCGACTTCTTTCTTAAGTCGACGTAAAAGAAATGGTCGTAAAACTTTATGTAATCGTTTAATAATCAATAAAGTTTCTTCATGATTCAATTCAACTTTTTCACTTGGTAATGTTGCAAATGGCGCATTGAACCAATCTGTAAATGTTGTTGAAGATTTAAATATTGTTGGTAAAATAAAATTCAACAATGCCCATAATTCTGGTAAATTATTTTGCAATGGTGTACCCGTTAATAATAAACGATGTGGAGCATTTGCATAATATGTATTTAATATTTGTGTTAATTTACAATGATGATTTTTCATTCGATGTCCTTCATCGACAATCAAATATTTCCATGGAACTTTTGATAGTATTGAACGATCACGCATTATATATTCATATGTTGTTAGCAAAACATTAAAACGATTTGTACGTATTGTTTGTCCGAGCGTTTTACGTACATTGGGTAAACCTTTATATTGTATAACAACTACGTCAGGCGCCCAACGTAGAAATTCAGCAGCCCAATTCGATAGGGTCGACAATGGAACAATAATTAATGATGGACCAGGATTATTTTTACTATCAATTAAATGCACAATTAATGCAATTGTTTGAATTGTTTTTCCAAGGCCCATTTCATCCGCGAGAATACCATTTAAATTATTGTTATGTAAGGAAACAAGCCATTCAAGACCTTGCAATTGATATTGTTTAAGTTGTCCACCAACAAGCATTTTGGATTGTTCTGTTATTGGTTCACGTATACGATGAGCAATAGAATAATAGGATTCTTTTGCATCGTACTCATCGTCTTCAGTTGCAGTAGTACTATTTGATTTTCTTTCAGTACTAGTTTGATCACTGATAGAACTAAAAGTAAAATATTTAGTTTCTAGTTTTCTGTTATTAGTTTTCAAAAATCTTACGTTGTTGCTGATGAACGATTGACTAATGTTTGTGCAGATTCTTTTGACTTATAATCAATTGTCTTATCTGATTTCGCTAGTGAACGATTAACTTGTTGATGTTGTCGTACCAGTTGTTTCAACGTATCGATATAAGCATCGGTTTGTGATAGTAACAATGCTAGACGTGCATCTTTTTTTTCATCTACTAATTTCCTATAGGCTTCTTCGTCGTCTTTCATTAATGTTAACAATCGTCTTTTATCTTCGCCTTTTTTTCGTTTAATTAACTCTCGTTCGTTATTAGCAAAATAAGCTTGAACGGATTTACTCATTCGTACAGTTGCCATGGAATAACGACGATGATATTCATGAAAATCTCTTGAATGTGTTAGTATAGCATTTAAAAATTCTTGATGTTTAGCTTGTTTTTGCTGTTTTATTTCTAATTTACGTCGTCGTTCATTATATTCAGTTGCACGTGCTTCACGAAGTTGATGGCGTTTTGGACGTTTATATGCTCGAGGATTGAGCGCAGTTTGAATATACGTATCTTTCTATGAATAGAGAAGAGAAAATTTCAAAACTTTCTATTTTTAACCTATTGACACAATCACTGTAAAATTAAAATATAAAACATGATGTAGATTCTACTGATTATAAGTATTTCATAGATAGATGGTCTATGATCATATATCCCTAATGTTTACACGCATTCCAATTTTCTCCCCTTGTAGCCACGTCTTTTAGATCATATTTCATAAAAGAAAAGATGAAGACAAAAACCTTTATTGTATTGAGAACTTCACCACGAAGTTGTTTTTGCAATTGAAGTAATTTCAATGATTTTAATTCAATCAGTGATCGTGTTCGTAATTCAGCATTCATATTAGCTGGCATATATTCTAATTCTTGAACACGAATTGACATACGATTAAGAACACTGACGAATAAAAATCAATCAAATATTTAACATAAATAAAGAATTTTTTAAATGAATTATTTACCGTTTGTCTCGTTCTTGTTGAGTATATAATGGATTTAAATTGATTGGATGTTTTTCGATTCGATGAATAGGAATGTTTTCGTGTTTTTTTTCATTTGATCCAGTTAATGATCGATACATATCTGTTGCTGTTGAGAATGTAAGCGGCGTATTGAGATCATTTAATGCAGACGAATGTGTAACAACGATACCAGTTGGATTTGATTGTTCTTGGGGAAGGTGATTTTGAATAAGTTTAACTAATTGAAATTTATATGAGCATGAATTAAGTAACGAATCTGATACGGGTAAATTTCGAGCTAGATAACGATAGGTCGATATTTGTGCTTTGAGAACATCTGAACGAAGTTGATCAAGTTCAGATGAATCTATTTTGATGACAGAAGCGGAATCTTGATCCGCTGTTGTCATTTTTGATTTATCTACAAAAGACAAAGAGTTTGTTTTTTTTTATAGTAAGACTACTTTGCATGATGAGATTTTATTCATTCTAGTTGGCCAAACCGCCACCAGGAAATCGTCCTGTGGCATCAGCAAGAGGCAGAAATGCTATGTACCCTAAACCGTTCCCAGCTCTTACACCTCAATCATATGTTCCAGGTAGTGGTGGTGGTGGTGGTATTCCTTATGGAGCTTACCCACCCGGTGGAGCACGAAGTAGTTTTCCAGTACTCACACCAAATTCTTATCTTCCTCCAATGGGTACTATCGAACCACCAATAATGAACTTAAGTGGAGGAGGTGGCATGTTCCCTCCTCCAACACCTTATACTCCCATGGCTCCTATGTTGCATAGTGTACCACAAATGCAATATCCACAACCAGGTGCAATATCAATGATGGCTCCACCACCACTGCCGCCGCCACCACCACCACCGCAACCATCGTATGATCCAGGATATCCACTCTATTCGCATCGGCGTCGTCCAGTTCGTCTATGTCGACGACGAGGTCGTCGCTCACGGCGGCCTCGACCTGTTTTACAGATAATTGATTCAAGTTCATGTTCATCATTATCATCATGTACAACCATAAGTTCATGTTCAAGACGTCGTCATCGATCACGTACTCGCTCACGACGCCGTGGAGCAACTTCACGTCAACAACAACAACAACAACAACCAATAATAGTTTTACCTGTTCAATGTCAGCAACCACAATCAAATGTAGCAGGTCCTATTCAACAACAGCCTCAACAAATTATTTTACCACCTTTACAATATCAACAATCAGGACAATGTCAACCTCAACAATATGTTTCTTCACCTATACAATATCAACAATCAGGACAATATCAACCTCAACAACTAGCATTACCGCCCATACCAATACAACAGCATCAACAACTATCATTACCGCAACTACAATTTAGTTCATCTAATCTTATTCAGAGTGCAGCTTCAAGTCCAATGAGCATTCCTAGTGGTCAACCAATGATACAGCCATCAATGTCATTGCCACAAATTGCTAACATTGGACAACCACTACAAATACAACCTGGAACCATTCAATATATTCAAACTGTACCATCATCTTCTTCATCACCATTACAATACATAACAAGTGAGCCACGTTCAACTGTCGCACCGCAACGTATTCTTGTAAACAGTACAAAGAAAAACCAATCATCCAAGGTTAAGCCTATTCCGAGGTCTACTTCAGTAAAAGCATTACCTCAAAATGATCTTAAATTTGGTCGACATCCATTTGATTGGTACGAGAGTGACAAAAAAAATAACATTATAAATGACAAAGTTCAAGTTGGACAACGAAGAAGCACTGCTGTTCGTTAAATGATAAAGACATACAAAGACTTCATATATCTAACTTGATTAGCTTATTGTATCTTTTAGATTAATAAATAAGAAATAGATTTGAAAAAAAATTCTTTTACTTAACTAAAATTTAGAAGTCTATATTTAAATGAATACAATAATAATAATCATCATCTAAACAAGTTTTACTTTCTATTGGTTGTTTCGAATCATCGTATCCGATAATCATACAGATGTCGCAATAATCAATGAAAAATCCTTACTCATTTATATATGTATGTCATTGTATGATATAACTATATATTCTAATAACCTTGATTGATTTGTATTTAACTAGTGAAGCAAAAAATTACGTTTGATTTTCTTTCATTCATTTGTATTATGTAACGATCAATTTGTTTTTCTTCTCCTTCTGCATATTATTTTTACTGATCGAAGCAAAATAATACAGTCAACGATATCCATCAGTTCTGAAAATCACTATGAGATCGATCACAGAATGTTTGAATTTCAGAAATCGTGGAGGTCAACTAACTTGATGAAAATAAAATTTACATAAAATATTTTCAATCGTGCAAATATTTCTTTCATTTCAAAGCTTTTTACATGCAACTCTCAATAAGAATAAAAGACCGTAGAGATATACAAATGAGTATTTTTCACAAAATTCTGATCTTCTCTCTAAAAACGGTTTCACGATCATGATGAAATCTAAGAAAAAATTTCGATTTTGCAACTCTTCCTATTCCATGAATAGATACATCTATCAAATGACCGAATATTGCTACTATCCTTGGATTCCTAATATATTTTGTACAACCAATAAAATGGATAAGTAAAATCAAAACATATCCTATCACACCGACAAGCATGAAGCACATTAAGTACTAAAAATGTTGTCAGCTGTTCAAATGTTTATCCTATAATCTACATTTCTTACCTTTGCGTACTTTTCGTCTAAATGTTTACCTAAAATTTGATCGTGATTGTCGTTGTTTCCGTTTTGTTTATTCCCCAAGGGACAAAATATATACAATAACAAGAAAACACCTTACTATTACACGATTTCGACAATGTGAGTATACAACCTATAAATTGAAACAAACATTCTTAAGCATGTATATTCTTTGTGATACTAGTGAACGCTATCTTTAAAATAGATGCAATCGAGAAAGCTTATTAAAAACAATGATTTGCAAAGACTTCCGTACGATTTGTGTTTTCGCATTTAAAATATTTTTTTCCATATTTAGAATTATTCGAAATAAAACCACCACTCTACAAAATGAGGCATCAAAATATGTCATCGCTGTTATAAAAAAAAGAGAGGATTGCAAATGCAAGTTTTCTTTGTCACATAAAAGTATCGCTCATTACTTATTTATGATTCGTGTAAATTAAAATCAAATAAATACACTAACTGCTTTATGACAATCATCAATATTGTTAGTCGATAAACAATAAAATAGATCATTAGTTAATTGGATTTCTTTTTAAAATTGCAAAAAACCATTGACAAAAAAAATGCGATTTCATATTACATCACAATCTATCTCATTTTAATGGAAGAATGTTCTTCTAAATTAATTTTCATTCATAAAATGAAATATCTCATGTGTGAAGGATCAAAATTTAAGAATATATAACAATCTGCCGCATCTGATATAAAACTTAAGGGTTCGAAGGGTCGACTGATTATCGACACTATACTAACAAGAACAAAGTTTTTTCTTTTCTTTTATTTTTTGATGAGATTAATTTATTACATAAAATCGCATTGTATAACACCTCGTTGATCCTAATCGATAGAAATCAAACATTTCACTATATCATCTTTTATTTCATCGGCGAATCAATTTGCAAGGTTTTCTTCTTTTCTATGTTAGTTAAGACGATTATTTCTTATAAAAAATTTAATTACTACTATATATCTAACAGAATATCTTATATTCTATAGAAAAATCTATAAATCATGATTAAAAGAGATATATATATATATATATTTATATTTAATAAAATATTCTAGATAATCATAAAGTATTATTCTTATCATTATATCTTAATCGGCTTTCTGTCCCCTATTTCTTCTTTGCTACTTTACTTTTAATGTTATTTTATTATTGCCGGATTGCTTAATCATTGGTTGTGCTCCTTCATCTCTTTCAATCCTTACGAATCATAAATAATTCTCTCGTTCGAAGAAACGACCAATTAGCCACGGCGAACGAACATTCTCTACTTGAAAAAGAAAAATCGAGCGTCATTGCCTTAAGAGAGAATTCAAAGAGAAAGAGAAAGAGAAAGAGAGAGAGAGAGAGAGAGAAGCAAAAAAAATATATATTCACATTTAATGATCAACACTCGTCACTATTATGTTCTAATTGAACACGATGTTTGGACTCTCACCATCAACATTTTATCATCCATCATTTATGTATTTACCATCACAAGATATGACTAAAACACATCTTTTATCAAATACATCTGATGGCAAACGAAAACATTTTGCAAAAAGTCAGCCTACAAATAAGAAGTATAGACTATGATTTATTATCTCGATTTGAATTTTTATTCATGTATTAATTTAGATTTTCTAGCAATAATTGCGATCGTCCGGTGAAGAAATGTTCCTTCGATATTGAATCACTGTTAGAATTAAAAACTAAAGATGCTCAAATATCAAATCGAAGTTACAATGAAGATACTGAAGATGGATCAAGTGATGATGGTCATACATCATATCGCAGCCCGCCAATATCATCCTATGCTTTATTCAATCAACTCAAAACACTTGACATGACACCACATAATAATAAAAGTGACCCTACACGTAAAACTTAACGAGAATCCAATCATTCTTTTCTTTGCTCTATTCTGAATTTCTACAAAGTCATTTTTTCCTCCAAATTTTTAGTTTCATCATCATCTGAATCCGATCACTCTCCATATCGACTAACATCAAGTAAACACTTGAGTAGTTCTCGTCATGGAATAAGTCATAAAATCAAGCCAAAACGTATTCGTACAATTTTTACACCTGAACAACTTGAAAGACTTGAATCGGAATTTGATAAACAACAGTATATGGTTGGAAATGAAAGATTCTATTTAGCAACAACGCTTGATTTAACTGAAGCACAAGTCAAAGTAAATTATTTTACTTTGAAGAACAACAAGAGACAGACAGATATCAATTTTTCTCTTTTTTCTTTCAAAAGGTTTGGTTTCAAAATCGTCGTATTAAGTGGCGTCGGCAAACATTAGATGATCATCAACAACGATTAACATCGATTACTGGTCAAACGCCAACAACAATGGCTGACGAACATAATCATTCAGACAATGATGAATAATTTTCATGATTAAACTAATGAATTGTTTTTCTTTTTCTTCACATTATGTAAATATGCGTATTTTCAATAATTCTTGTCTAGTTCACAAGTTCTTGTCAGTAAACACAGTCGTATGTGTATGTTCTCATAAAAACAAAACAAAAAAGAAGAAGAAAGTTATGAAAAGCAATGATCACGTTGTTATTATTTCTATAGATTTATCGATAGTGAATATTTTTCTTTAACACGCTTTTCCATTAATTTGGTTCTATTCAAATTAACACCTTGTTTCTTTCTTTCTTTTGGTTACTTCAATCGATCAGGTGGAAAACAAAAAGAATAAGAAAAAAGAGAATGGTAAATATTGAATAAAAATTAGTATGTGTTTAATAATTCAATATGATACCAATTAATCCGTTTTCTAAAGCGATAAGTGTGCTTGTATGCATTCTCAAACAATGAAGATGAGAACAGGCACCGTATGGATGCATCGTAACTACTTGTTCTATCGGGAAGAGAAGGAGAAAAAGAAAATATTTCTTTCTATTGTCTTGATGACTTTCAAGTGTTTGATTTTGTCTACGATAATGCTAATGATAACAAACAATAACCTACGGTGCTCTATTGTCAATGAGGAACGATCATGTGAAAAAAGATAGTAATGAACATTTGACTCTTGATCAGTAGAAACAAACTTATATAATAACATCATCAGTATGCATAAGCATAAAGACAAGTAATGAATATTGAGTTTTTTGTTTTGTGGAAGAGAAAGAGAAGAACGAACAATAGTAATTGTAAATAATCGAGATGTATCGATTACATCAGAACCATTTTAATGAAATTAAACGAATATCTATTAAAGAAGAATTGCACGAAGAAGAAAAACATAACGGACGGATGTAACAAATCGAGTTCCTCTAGAGGGCATTTAATGATATTTGTTTATTGTTGAATGAGAAGCTTATTAATTTATTCTATACACTACTTTGAATGATACCTATATATGTACATATGACACAAGCATTAGAATTGCTCATTGAGAATTAAAATTTAGTTCATTATTAGTATATGAATAGAGTGAGATATTTCGATTGATTAGTTTTTAAGGGAAAATCTCAAGCAAAAAATATCTGTAGACGGAGTATACAGAAGAAACAAAAGAGTGTTAGTAGAAAAGCGAATAGATGACGATTCTGCTGTGAAGATGAGATCGATTTCATTAAGAAAATGATCATTATAAAAAGTCTTCTTTCAGTCACTTGTAGAAGTCATTAAAAAAAAATGCCGACTATTTGCTTTCTTCTCAAACGATGGCAACAAGTTTCTATGATTTGTTTTCTCAAGTTGTAAAAATTGATCAGCCGTTTTTGTATCGAAATTTTCTTTTTGTTATATTCAGAAGAATAGGAAGAAAATTTTTTCTATATATCGAAGGGTAATTAGACACAAAATATATTTTAATAAGATGCAATAGTTGTTGGTTAAAATTTTAATAATATATTTTGTTCGGTTATCATTTTTATAACAATTATTAGATCGACTTGAATTAGAGATGATCTGTTTAAGTTTGTCGAACTTAATTTCCAGAATATATTTTGTGCATGATATTTATCAACAAGCAATTGTTGTAGTGATAAGTCAATTACACTTCAAAGCGTTGGTAATTAATCATTTAATTGTTTTCAATGTCACTGGTACGAAGGTGGAAATCAGAGCACAGCTATGTTTTCTTCGTTGACAGAAGGTAGTCATGATCTCGAAAAATTAAAAACTCCCTAATTTGATGAGCATCACCATTTTTCGTCATACTAATTTTAGAATTTCTAGCTTTGGAGATAGGTAGAAGCGGTAAAATATCCTACATTGCAAAAACTAATTGTATTTCAGAGTCGATTTGAAGACGGATAGTTTGTCTTTTTTTCAAAACAGAAATCTGTTTTTATAAGTTTAAAACAAAGGTTTCATTTGATCTTCAAAATTACATCAAAACTACTTAGCTATTTGTGTTTAATCATAGGAGAAGCACTCATCGGACACAATATCTTCATAATGTCAATCGATACTTTTTGTGATGTATTTGCATAATAAGAAAAACAGACAATAGGTAAAATATCACTATCTTTGAATTAGTATAAAAATCGGTAACATGAAGTATATTCAGGTTTACCTCATATTCTCATATTAATTCTAGGATATTGATGAACAAGTCTGAAAGTATTTCAGATTTTAAAAAGCTAGATGCATCGTTTTCATGATTGTATTTCAACTCTATTGATTTCAAACTAGGAGAAGAGATACATTTTATTTTTCCATGAGATCAGCGTCGAATGTGTTGTCATGCATTTTTCTGCCTTGATTAGAGTTCAATTGATCTACAATACTTGAATAATGTTTCTTTTTATCTTAACCGATCGTAATCATCCGACTTCAAATTTTACTTTGCAGATAATAAAAGAAGATGATTAAATATTTACAGCAAGTTGACACAATGCAAAAATATGGATTAATTGCGTCACAATCCATGTAAAAAAAATTTAGGATAGAAATCAGATTAAAATCGATTGAAAAATGATTGAAAATCGAGTATAATCATACATCTTTAATCGATTATAATCAAAAATAATCCAAAAACCAAAATTTTCATCGATTATTCCTATTATTTTCGATTATAATCGAGTAAAAATTCATGAAAAAAATTGATTATAATCGATTTTCAATCATTTTTCAATCGATTTTAATCTGATTTCTACTCTAAATTTTTTTACATGTATCCGACATATCTACAATATCAATGCAAAAATATACTTGAAAGATTCGTTTTGTTGAGAGCAAACGAATTTTCATATTCAAATATTTTACTCGAGATGTATCAACATGTAAGGCTCAAATAACCATCGATTTTGGTAACTTATTCAAAAATTAAGCAGAATTTAAAACGAAATAAACTTTCTATTTATTTACTATTGATATATGTCTTGTTTGTTTCAATAGATACTGTAATAACTGTATTCAGTGCTTCCAATATAACGATTTTTGACAAGTACTGGGTTTTGCACTTTGCAGGAAAATGAACAGTACTTTGTAAAATAAAAAAACACTGCTTATTTCTTATACTATTATTCGGAAATGACTCGTTTCTGTTGTTTATTGATTATATCGGTAGATAAGATGGAGCAAAAACAAATCTTCGTTTAGTCTCATTGAGCTTACGAGGGAAGGTCCCCACAAGTATGAGTCACCGTTTTAAATCAAATGTATTCCAGTTTGTAGAACTCGACGAGCTGATGTTAATAGCATAAAGCGTTTTTCCCCGTAGGGCTTTAAATTACACATATTCAATCTACCTTTATATAATGTTTAGTGTGTCTATATTGGGGTCAAAGGTTAGAAGATCACCAAGCGATGTCTATCGTGCTCAAAAAAAATGCTAGAGCCTTCCAAGGCTTTTTCAGATAATTCGATATTGCATAGAATATTCCAGAAAACTTTGGAAGGCCGTAGCATTCTCTTGAGCACGATAGACATCGCTTGGTGATCTTCTGGTCTTTGACTCCAATATCGACACACTAAACATTATATAAAGGTAGATTGAATATGTGTAATTTAAAGCCCTACGGGGAAAAACGCTTTATGCTATTAACATCAGCTCGTCGAGTTCTACAAACTAGAATACATTTGATTTAAAACGGCGACTCACACTGGGGGGCCTTCCCTCGTTAGTTTAAAAGCAAAGATACGGCATTCAATATTAAAAAATTACAAGAAACTTAATTTGAATACCTCTTAATTGGCTAAAAATTCTACAGCATAGGCTGTACTTCTTGGAAAAAAATTACTAATCTTCGAAGTGAAGTTAAAAGAGCTCGTACATTTAGATTTTATCATATCACATGATATTCGATGAATTCGGGCTCATTGGAAATAGTTTCTTCGTTGACGAACAGTTCTCTCGTAGTACTTTTTCATCAAAATGAATCGATGGCAAGAAATTCTTACACCGAGATGAGTCTACTAAATTTTTCTATTGCGTTTTTCTCAAGCAATGTCGTTGTCGTCTCGATTCCATCTAATTTATTTTTCTCTCGCGTGTGTATATTTCCCAGAAGATATAAATAGAGTGTGATTCTAGTAATATTAACGAGTAGAACTTGGAAAGCACTTTTTTTTACTAAACGAATATGCAGAGCATTTAGAATCACTGTGAAAGGCTAACGTGATTTAATTTTTATTATGATCAGACACAAAAACAAAAAATGAGGAGTATTGTACAAATTTATTGGATGAAAAACAATATGCTGATTTAACTCATTGTAAAAAACAAAAGATAATGTTCGAGATCTTTCGAAATTCCTAAATCTGAAGTCATACAGCGTTTATCAATCGATTGTAAATTTAAAAGAATTTTTGTTCTACATGTTGATTTGAGTAGTCTAACTTCTTTTTTTGGTTCAATAAAATTTTTAATAAATAACCATAAAATTTGTTTTATTTTTGAATCTTTCTCATTGGCTGCACAATATCTTGTTAATAATCTTGTATTAATTGGTTGAACACTAGTCGATTTATAATAAACACAAATAAATAATTCATAAAGTTGTCGAAGAATCGATTGACGTTGCTCAGCTTTTATATCATCGTTGGATTCAACAAGATAAGTCCAATCACCTAGCGATTGACAGACAAGTGATTGCAAATCAACAGATATCGTCGAACGATTCGTTTGCAGTATAATGTCATTGAATGAAATATGTTTTTTAAATAATATCGTGAAAATTTTAGTAACATATGGTGCACGTGTACGACGATAAGCTTTCGTTAAATGATGTAATTTAGCACCATTTGATAGAAATAAATCAAATAAGGATGAAAATTTTTCTAATGAATTTGCATTCATAAATAAACTATTTTTGCTAAATAAATAGCAAGATAAGAATAGATCGAATGGAGTCTGATCACTTTTTGTTAATTTATTAATATTCAATATTGAAATAAATTTCATCATTGATGGTAATACTTCATCAATGCCCAATTCACAGGCAACATGAAATGAAGTCAGTTGCTGCTTCCGTGTACTTATCAAGCATGGATCGATATATGCATGCTTGAGAAGAATAAATATTGCTTCGATATTTGTACGAAATATAGCATAGAGTAACGGTGATTGATTATCATAATCAAGTGTATTTGGATCGATCTATTGTAAAATAAATATAGATAAAATATTGAGTAGAAGAAGAAAATTTTTTGAATATTACTTACACCTCCTTGTTCAATTAGAAAACTGATTAGATCATTTTTATGTAGAAGTATACATTCATGTAAAAGTGATATACCATAATAAGTTTGTTTAAAATCAGCACCATATTGATTTAATAATTTTAATATGTCAAGATTGCCATATCGAATAGCGCAAAGTAATATTCGATTTGTTATGCGAACTTGAAAATCAAGTAGTTGTCTAAGAAAATCTAATGATTTACCACTTTCAATAGCATAAAACAATGGTGCTCGATGAGTTGCATCTTCAACGTCGATTAAATATCTTCGTTCTTGGTCGCTAATTAGACTCAGAAGTGTTTTTAACAATGATATTCTATCGTCGTTTTGATCAAGAGCATCTCGACAGCAACTAACAAGTCGCTGTTGGATTGTCGGAATGATAGACATTGAAGAAAATGAAACGCAATAGATATTTTTTCCCGTAAATATATAATATATGTTCTATGGCATGAAAAGAAACAGGACGATAAAGGAAAACAAAGAATTCGAGCACTGCCTACATTATGTTATTATTTTTTTTTCGCATCACGTTGTGCCCAAAAAAGGCAAAACAAACTCGAGAGAACAGAAAGACAATATTGATTTTGTTTTGACTCACGCTTGTCAATTTGCATGAATCAGAAAACAAGATACGATATCTACTATCACTGTTGTACTTATTATAAACACGAGCATCGCCTTTTCTCCAACGTGATGATTCTCTCTATGACCTATTTTTCTGCTGCCGTCCATATAAATGAAACATGCACAAGGTAGTTTAATTAGTAGATGTTTTTAGAAAAGCCTCCCTGTACAGTGAAGTGCAAGAAAATTGCCGTTGCACCTACGCATTTTCTCGAGTCATATATGTGAAACGCATGAACGGATTCTTCTGAAACTTTTATCAGTAATTAAGGATGTGCTATAGATTTCAATCAGAGCGGGACTTCTCAAAAAGTGTCGTTCAGTAGAGCGAGAGACATCATGATTCGAGTATTTACCGCTTTTCTAGAATATCAAATAGTCATATTGCACTACCACGACTAGGGCAATCGTAGCGCTACTAAAACCGTCTTCTTAAAGAAACTCTACGTCCATAGTACCTAACGAAATACAAATGAGGTCCAACGACACAGCATTGTAAAAAGAAACGGAGGGTCACGGTGTGTAGAATTGCCAGAAAAAAATGGCGATTGAACCAAATTTTCTAACTATCTCGACAATGATTTGTCTGACCGACTTGAAATTTCGATAGTAGACAGATATCGGCTAGTAAATAAAATTTTGCCCCACGTGAACAAATTCTGAAAATTTATCTTCAGCGTCAAATAGAGGTCAAAATTTGAGAAGGTTGTGTTGCATTTTTTCCCGCTTTAAAAATCGAGAAGACATCGTATCGAACTGAAACTCCGGCTACCGGATCTTGATCCAAAAGGAGGTCCATAGCTTTTTCCACTCTTCTCCAAACTCACATTTTAGGCTAGCACATAATCCATGTACATAGGCAAAGCGATCCTAAGCTATTTGAGTGTATCGATGAAGCTATAGTGTTTGCTACTTTTTTGACTGAAGAAAAAAAAACTAACTATCAATTATTATATTTGTGCACTCTCGTGTATGTATAATCCATTTATAGAAAAAAACTTTTAATATTCATCATGTTCAGTAGAGTAATTTTATCAAATACTAACGGCAATTATTTTTGCACACCACTGTATATATCATAGATTAGTCGATGAGTATCGGAGTATTTAAAAAATGAATATCATAGCAAGATGGGCAGTAGCATGTAGCAGTACAAGACTAAATAGTGTCAATCATCAGCAATGTAAAGGTCGCCTATGAACTAAACTATAGCAGATAATAATAATATATTTATATACCCTCTCTTTTACAAGAAACTAAATCGATATTGATTTTGTCTGATGAGATTTTATGCATCACTAGAGAGTTTTCCAAAACATTGTTCTATAACAGGTCTATATAATCGAAAGATCAAATGACGCATCGATATTCTTCCAGTAGAGCTGGTGCTGAGTCAATCTCACCATTAGTTTGGAACGAGAGCTAACTTCAGCACAGGATACAATTGAATGCAGATGCATTCATGACCCAACAAAATGAATCATTCATGTTTAATATGAAATTGATGAATACTCTCGAAGAATGGCATAGAATTGGATATCTCAAAAGCAACGCACCTAATCTGTATCGAGTCTTTGGTTTTAATTTCATTTGAAATATTCTGTTTTTTTAAACTGAAACTTCATTCAGAAAGACGGTTATAATTTCCTATCTTGTATCAATAAAAGTTCATCACAAAAAAAATGGTGGAATCGTTTTTGATGTCTGCTTATGTCTAAGCTTGAAATAACCCAAGATGGGCCAAATGTTAATATGCCTGACGTATGTGTTTACCAAGAATTGCTAACAAGCAGCACATGTGATACCTTAACTTTCTCCAAGATTTATTGCACTCTGTAAGCTGCATTGATAAATGAAATAATTTCGTTTATTTAATTCTGCAATTCATTCGTTTTTTTTTATTACTTTCTGTCCTATTTATACACAAGAGAAATGCTACATATAAATAGTGACTTTTTCTCACAAACAACAAATATCAATTAGTCAAAATAGAGAATGTTTTGTTAACATGCATACATACATTTAAGTAAAAGAACGTTCAAATCATAATACAAGTTATTTATAAGACTATATAAATATGTATAGATAATACAGACAAAAGGAATAACTAAAAGGAAGAAAAACAACAATAAAAGAAAATCGTATTGCTTAATGAAGAAAATCGTTTTTAAGAACATGATGAAAATGATGAAAAATTTTATGAGTCTCATTTTTAGGTGTAGATGATTTTGTTTGATGTTTTTTCTGTTCTTCACTTTTATCAATATCAAGTAATGATGATAATTTAAGTTTATCTTCGAAATTTGCTTTATAAGTTGCTAAATCCATTGAATTTATCATCGGTGTTGATATTTTTGATGATTGTGCTGAATAGTATTTTTCATTTTCATCATCAGTCATGTGCTGATTTTCTATTGATGGCGGTCGTAAAATTTGACTTTTTTGACTAGAACTTTGTGATGCAGTTAGAACAAGTGAATTAGGCCGAATGGGTGAAATAAAAGGTTCCGATCGATAATCTACATTTAAAAGTTCATTAGCTTGTAGTGTTTCAGCTGATGGCGTGTTCGTTTCTGTAGGATGTCTTATTGTTACTGTTTCATTTGATGAATGAAGGACAAGCGATGGATGTTGTATTGGTCGAATGGAAGATGGATCAACTTGAATAGGTATGCGACGACCAAGTCCAACAGCAACTAACATAGAATTTATATCTAAGAAAGCACGTGCTAATGAGCGATCGTTGGGCGTTGAACATAACGAAGATGAAGATGAATCAACTATGAAAGAAAATTTTATTATAAATCAAAGAAATGAAGTAAGATTAAATCAATCGAGAAGTTAATTTAAATAATCATTTTGAAATGAAATCAACATTAAAGATTAAATTTTATTTTAGACTACAATCAAATGAGCATACTAGATATGTTAATAGTGATTTTTTGTTTCTAGATAGGTCAAATTTGAATTTAAAATGTTATATCTATTTATTAGCCTAAGCTTACTTAATTCAACGGTACTTCCCGAAACTGGAAAAATAAAATGATGGAGAAAAAAATGATACATTTATTTTTGTTTTAAATTTTACCTAATTTTTGACTTGGTCGATCAATAGTTGGAGTTGACATGGCGCTTGATATGGCCGTATTATTATCATTATTGTTGTTATTATTATTATTTGTATTTGCTCTTGATAAATTTTCTAAATACCATTCTGGATCACCATTCTGTGAATGTGCTTTTCCGTATTTTCGTTTTATAGCCGATAATGATGATGATTTAGATTTGCGTCCCGAAGACTTTGATTGGCTAATTGAACGTGGAGGTTTCTCAGGAGATGTTGGTGGATTAGATCCATCAACCAAATGATTAACTAAACATAAGAAAAGAAAGCATTCTTTTTCTAAATTTTTCAAAAATATGTTTAGTTTTTCGTCATGCATTAAATGAAGTGTTAATAGAAGATTAAGCAAAGAATCAAAAATATTCTAAAAAGCGATGTTATCAAAATAAAATAGTAAATGTGAACTAATTTAGTTGTAAATTAAAAAAAAATCGTTTTAAACGTTGATATTCTATATTAGTTATGTAGAAGAAGTTATTATGATTTCTTACCATAGCTCATCAGTGGAAATGCAGCAATATTAAGATTATTTATAATCAAATCTTCAATTGCTAGATATACATGTATATCTATATAATTACTCGATTAGTTTTTCATTTATCGCGATTATTTAATTAAAAAAGAAACGCAAAGGAAATATACGTACAAGTCAATGTGCGAAGTCGACTCATATTGGGTGTTGTTGGTGTACTATTACTTGAAATGGAACGATTAAATTCAGGAATCGATGATTTAATTGCTGAGTTCGGCGGCATTTGACATGATATAGATGAGGAGAATGATGGAGATATTGCAGAGTTATTTGGTGAGAAAGTTTGATCAGTTATCGGTTGATTGTAGCATACAGATATTAAATGACGAAAATCTAAACGAAATCAATATGCAAATTAGACTGGGATTAATATTATGATTTGGAAAAGTCTATTCAATTTCTAATTCAGTTTAATTTCTTCGAGCTTCAGATATTTCATAGAACTAAGCTAAACGATTTGAAACTTGTATCTTACTATAGTTTTATAGTCTGATTGAAACTTACTTGTTGGACTACTGATTGATGTATTATTACCGGATGATTGACTAGAATTTCCGTTAAGAATTGAGCGAAAAAAGCCTCCGGATTTATTTGATGTTTTAGGTGTATGATGTTGCGTACGTTGTTGATTATTTTTTGCAATTAATAACTGTAATTCCAATTCAACAATATGCATTTCACGTTGGTATAATTCGTGTTCCCATTTTTCTAATTGTAAACGTTGATTGTTTTGTTCTACTAAACGTTGATGAATGGCTTGTTCGCGATCACGAATTTCCTTAAAACATCATATATATTTATTAAATTCATATCACATGAAAAAATTTATTTTACTTGTTCTTTATCTTTCAATTCTTTAAACATATCTTGAATTTCTTCACGCCAATCTTTTTGTAATGATTGATATGATTCTTCATTCGGTTCCATATGATTTACTCCATTTGTCATATAGTTTATTTCAATAATTGCATTGATCTGTTCAAGTAACTCACTAAATGTGGGTCGGTCGTGTGGAGAAACTTTCCAACAATCTTCAAAAATTTGAATAGCGTTACAAAAAAAAGAAAAATCAAATAAAATACTTGTCATCAGTTGTGAAAATTCTTCTGGACATGTACTTGGAATTGGAAGAGAATATTTATTAGTTGCAATTCCGAATGCAACTTGCATTTGGTCAAAACCTTTATAAGGTACTTCACCTGTTAAACATTCCCAAAGAAGAACACCAAAACTAAAATAAAAATACCGATTTATTTCTAAAGTCATTATGAAAACAAGCTAATAGTATGAATGGAATCAGCGGAGAGTACTCTAGTCGTCTATGGCATTAGAGTTTGAACTACATCAAGTCTCATTTTTCCTCACGACTCTTATGATAGTACTCACTGGTGAATCTCTGCAACTTTTCAGCTCTGACATAAGCATGCAAACTATTAAATGGATGCCGATTTATATAGTAGACGCTCATGGATTTTATTCTAGGAGTTAAGCACAATTTATTTTTCAAATGGACATCTTCGCTCAAGTTAGTGTTAAATACTAAAATTAAGTTTTTTTTAACATAAAATTTACCTCCAAACATCTGATTTTGTTGAAAATTCTGTATTACGAATACATTCAGGACTCATCCAAGCAAATGTTCCAGCAGTGGACACACTTGATGATTGTAATTGTTTTCGAGCAAGTCCAAAATCAGTTATTTTTAATGTTTTCTGTAAAAGATCATTCTCATTATGAACATCATTAATATGTTCAAAAATAAGAACTAAACAAAATAAATAAATAAATATCGAAATAATTATTTTCAATTCTTACTATTTGAACATTTTAAATCACGATGTATGATATGTTCACAAGCTTCTTCATGTAAATATTTCATCCCATCAGCTATTTGTTTAGCATATTCAATAAATACATTTGGATAGAGTCCTAATTGACGTCTTCGTAAAAGATAATTTAATGCGCCACCATAAGCATATTCCATAACAAGATAAAGATTTTTTGTTGATAACGAAGGACTAACACCAAACAGTTGAATAATATTTCGATGTTTAAGATTAGAGAAAAGTCGTGCTTCACGTAGAAGACTATCGATAAGTGTTTTTTTTACAGCATCTGATGTATCGTCACATGCTGGTGTTGTTTGTATAGAACAAAAGGATGCTAAAGATTTTGCTGTTTTTATGGCTACATCAATATTACCGAATTTACCATGAAAGACATGACTAAAACGAAAAAATCAAACAATATTTTGATATAATTATCGTCTATCAATTAAAATCCGGATATAATTCTTACCCAAAACCGCCAACTCCAATCATATCTCCTATGTGTAAATCATTAAAATCAATAATACGAAGATTGAGTTGTGAATTAGAATTGGTACTGGCCGGAAAGATACTTGCTGATTCAGAATCAACAGGTCGTTTGCTTGAATTTGAAATGGACTCATATTCTGATAAGGCCTCTAATTCACTGCCATTCCTAGAAGAAAAAAAGAAAGGTAATTTTTTCTTAAAAATACTTTCTCTTCAAACCTAGGTGTTAATTCATCATCATCTTCGTTTTCATTGCAATTCAAAATAACATTGAGGATATCTTTGATATTTTCTTGTGGAGTATCTTTTTTATCATCGTGATTATTAGTATTATTAGCCGAAAATGATGAATTGTTCATGTTCGATGATGGCACATTGGGTACATTTGTTAAACACACAAATAAGACAAATGGAATCATATGCGAGAACAATCGATCAACTCAGTTTCGAAGATAAAAAACATTTACGTGAAAGTCTCATTTTGGACCTAATCATTATTTTGATATCATATCCGTAATAACATTCTCAATAAATACAAATAAAACACTACTGTATTATTATTATTATGATTATTAATAACCTTCTTTTTAAGAAGAAGAAAAAGTGATGATGTGATGTGATGTGGTTATTTACGACAAAATTATTCGTCTAACAAACTGAACAATCGGTTTCTGATCGATAGTTAACTAGCGACATCTGATGAACGCCTTGTTGTTTTGAGCGATATATTATTTTCTTAATAATACTTCAGAGATAGATAGCTGTCGGTTATAATTTGGTATGCTTGCTTGATTTTCAATCGAATTATTCTCAATGTATTTTATCATATAAAATCCTCATAGAATGTGTTACTTGTACGAAAATTGAGACTAGTGTTACGGTGTACGAACTCAGATGAAAAGACTTTTAAGCATAATATTTGTAAATTACATTGTGATAAATTGTTGAGACCCATGGAATTATGGCGTATGTGACAAGTTTAAGTAATATATACTCTATGGAATTCTACTTGAATCAATTTTAGGTGACAATAGTAAATATTCTTAGTATGATTGAAGTTATATAATGAAATCGCAAAACTTTATATTATGTTGGATATAGTCTATATTTCTTCACAGAAGTTTGTAACACTAGTGTGGTCGATGTATGTAAGAGAATTTTGACGGTGCCAACTGTAATTACGATCCTTCATTCGTGCATATTTGTTGAAAACAACACGTGATACTACGATGGTGTACGGTTCCATTGTGTAAACTCAAGTTAATCAGATTTTTGATTGATTCAAAAATGTAAATAAAACGCTTTAGAAAATTAATTTCTTTGACAAGTAATTCTATTATAGTTCGTATATGAAAGCATACGAAGAAAATCGAACTTTCATGATATTATTAAATTTTGCACCACATACCAACATGATATGTAGCCGCTGACTATCTGTTGAAAGCTGTAATGTAGCTATGTTACCCCTTCAGGCTCTATGTTAGATAAAAACACTTCTCATTGAAAACTAATATGCTTTGATTCTATATAATCTATTGCATATGTTACAGGGAGATGGAAATTTCAATCTCACCTAGGGCAAATTAAAATCTTTTTTTCCAATGCAATTTATAAGAAAAAATGATATATTTATTTCTACGAGGACTATTAAAAACTTCCCTATAAGAGAAACTAAAACTTTAATTTGCCCTATGTGAGATTGAAATTTCAATTTTCCCTAACGGCAATTTAAAATAGCTCTGCATTTCAATCTCCCCTGTAACGAACATTCACCTTGTTTTATCTTGAAAATACAATTACAAACATTTCATAGTTTAGAGACGCACGAACAACTTAATATGATCTATTTAAAAAATACAAGTTGAATATTGGATTGATTATTATTATTTATCTTAAGGTAATCTTTACACAAGAATGATTTTTATTAATCAACAGAATGAAAAGTCACGTGTAACTTACTACAGCTTAAATTTTTAGTACAAAAAGAATGCATAGCTGATTATCTCAACTACTAAAGAATCAATTAGCAGAAACATGTTTGCCTTTAGTGTTAATATAATTACACACAGTCTTTATGAGATATGGTAAAAACTTTCTCTTCATCAAATGCATCGTGCTTTTCATACATCAATAATTTAAAAACATATGTTTTCAATTTCATCATTCTCAAATTCGAGGACTCTCAACAAAAACAAATGCATACTACCTAAGTACTTATGCATAGAAAAAACTTGCGCAAGTTTCCTCATACATTTAAAACGTTTCCTCTCCTTTGTCTTTTTTTCCTTGTATTTGGGCCACATTACTTACTTTTGAAAAACAAATCTAATAGAATTAAGTGCTTCACAGTAGTTATGGTTACTTCAAAAATTTACCGTTCTGTCTTGTTGGCTCATGAAAAAATATCTAAAATTAAAAAAGATCTGAAAGAGCTATACACATTGTATTTTGTTTTTCTACTTACAAGTGAACTCTCATATTTAACTAACACAACGAAATGGGTTGTAATTCTTCCACGGTGGGCACGGAGAATGAAGAAACGCAAAACTCCACTCAAAAGGATAAGCAAAATAGTAGTCATGACGGAAGTCAGGAAGACAATAGTTACATGGCCTCGCAAATCAAGCCTATTGGCTCTGAAGCTTTTTCTACGGTTCCCGGTACGATGGATTATGTCGTTATGTAAGGTACTAATTTACAAGCATTGGACGATTTACTTCTTCAGTTATTGTCAACACGCTACTAACAATCATTTTTAATAATTAACTTTTAAATTATGGTTATCAAAATTTTTCGACAACTTACTGAACTAATTAAATATTCTTCAAAAACAAAATTGTTCCTTATTTTTCATCATGATTCTAAATGACACTGCTACCATTTCACTATCTTAATCAAATTATATTTTAGTCTTCTGCGTGATTTGTGATCATTATTTTTTTATATGTGCTATTGACCTAGATATAGTGCAATTCTATCGCTTCATAGAAACACATACTACCCACTGCTCTCTCTCTCTCTCTCTCTCTCTCTGTTTCTTCTTGGTGAATTTATAGGCCTTCATGCTTTTAAATATATCGTACAACTCATCCTAATATATTTGGTTGTACGTAACATCGATTTTGATATTTTAGCCTATTTTAGTGACGAGTACAATTGTCAATTATCAAAGGAAGATTGTTATGGTGTTTACAGTAACATATATAAATATCAATGTTAATAAAAGTAGATTAGATATAGATGATACGTAAAGAATGCACATACGACTTATATTCATTTAGCTAATGCTAAAAAATACGACAGTTATGATGAACTCCGATCAAGAAGATAGCATACTTCTAAAAATATTTTATATCTGTCCCATTTTATTTGATTTACGTATCTTATTAGTAAATCCGTGTTATTTATCCGCTCATATGAATCTTTAATGATTAAAAAAGCAAGCATGTATGCCAAGTTTCTATGAACATATTAGCCATATGCATTGGAAAATGTAAGTTTATTGAAAATCCAAGTGATGTGGTTGAAGCTGTGTTTATGACAAAGGAGCAAGCAAGGGGGAAAAGGCGAATTCAGGATTCCAGGATTCCCATGGGATTCCCGGATTCCAATGGGATTCTTTGGATTCTCGTGGGATTCTAGGAATTTTTATAATAACAAATGACATTCCAGAAATTCCTATTTAACCTCTACGATCCTCACTTTAGTCCTCAAAATCTGATAGAACTCAGTGTCAAGGCTTCATTGCTTTATCAAATGACTTGAACAACTGTACTAAGCTATTGAGGAAAATCATTTTCTAGGCGAACATTTTTTTCATATGCTTTACCTGTTCAGATATCAAGATTTGTCCACAGTACATGACACTCTTGCTCCAAATGCTCATGTATTTCATGCGCATACCCCAAGATAGTTCACTAGAGTTATCTATTATAAAATTCTAGGCACTTAATCTAATTAGATGGGTATCAAGTCCATTTTGACAACACAACAGTTTACTTTCTTATTTTTAAGAGAAAATATTCCAAGTAGAATAACAAAAAGCAGCAAGCAATATGATTAAATCAATGAGATACAAGAAATATGCCGAATCAAATGAATCTATGGCATCTTATATGTAACCTTTTATTCGTTCAGTGATCTAACAGTTGAATATACTTAAAGAAATCAGGCAACAGTACAGGCTTTCTGTCTACTAAAAGATAAGAGGCTCTCTATCTATGACTATTGTTATTCGCATTAATTTTGACACGAAAGAAAAATAGTTTGAAAGTGAAGAAAAAAATTGGTTCAGAGACTCTTATTGTATGAAATTGAGATTTATCGCTAGTTGACAAAGAAGACAAATTATAAATTTTGTCTTAGGATCAGCTATATTTCTCTGATTTGGATATTAAAAAGCAACATTAGATATTCAATACTAATTTGAGTCTTGATCTAATGAGTTGTTATGATTTTCGTCAGATTAAACAATACGGATCTTTTTACACTAGATTCGTATAACTGATCTACTTTGTTTTATCACAGATTTTGCTTTTCTTCTAAACAAAATTAAAACCAAATCTGGAAAGAAGATTATAGGCTAGATTATACACTTGCCAAGTAGTCTTTTTAAAATTATCACAAAGGAGAAGATCATGAGATCATTTTGAAGCTGATTGCTTAGAAACCATCTTTTTCTTATCTTGTGTGACACTTTTGAAAACTTTAATGAAAAGTTCAACGCACTGCATTTGGATAGGAACAAAACAGATTCTACATGCACTAGAATGCCTGAACTTCGCTCGAATATTCAAGATCTTTATCGAGTTCCGCATATCTATCCCTTTTGTTTTCTAGCTGTCTGCCTTTTTTTCGAAGATGCAATTATTGGCTCTAAGCTTGCTTTGAATTGTGAAAGTCGAGGAATATTTATTCTTCCACAGAAGAAAAATAGTCCAGTCATGACTAAGTTCAGACAAATTTTTTCATAAGACATGCATCAATACTAGAGACAAAAAAGCTCTTGTTTTATTTTCATTTGCCCATGAAAGGGCAGTAAAAATCGAAGTAATATCGATCAGAACTATAATCCGTTACATTTTCTCATTGATCATGTCTATTTTATTAAACGAGTCGAGTGATGAACTAATTATTAAATGAACGCAGTGATATTTGTTATGCATGAACATGAACTATGATTTCAGTGTTGTTCAGATATCTAATTTAAGTATTCTTTGGATATTCATTGGATTCCCTCGATTTCTATTTGATTCCAGGATTCCCATGGGATTCGAAATCCCGAGAACTCGTCAATCCCCCTTGAGTTGCATCATAATTAAAAGAGTTCGACTTTTTTTCTTAGATTGCATCCTACAAGCCAATTGCTTTTATTATTTATATGTATTAACTAGAATAGTTCAATGTAGACAACTTTTTCAGAACTTTTGCGCATAGGATTGCATTATAATTTGTCTCGACTGAAAACACCCATGCCACCAAAATCACGACGATTTTCACGACACGGGCGGGCGTCTTACTAAATTTTTTAAGCATGATAATTATATACATCATTTTATTTTATTTATGCAACGTAGATAATGCATGCAATTTATAATATCAAGAGCATAAACGAGATTCGTGTCACAACTCAACATGTTACAACTACTTGTTCTCTTCGGTGATGAGAATTACGAATTTCAGAAGAATTTGTATTATACTTTTTATGGCAGGAAGTCCTTGTTTCACAGCAACTAGCTTATCTGTATAGTTTGTTTCGTAAGTTGCTTCGATTGATGCTTTTATTAGTCCAGAATATAAATTATATTTTGGGGATTTTGGGATTTTTCATGGGATTCTTGGGATTCCCGAGATTTTTGTGGGATTCGGAATCCTGAGAATCCGCCTTTTCCCCCTTGAGTGAAGACCTTAGAAAGGTGAATAGTAGTTATACATCTTAAATAATCAGTAGCATTGAAAAAGTTGGAAACAAAACAAGCTTCCCGCCAAATACAAAAATGAAAAGGAAGTGTTACCTCTCTGAAGAATATTCATTGTCGAAGCCACATCATCTATTATGCTTTTTCACTCCACACAACTTTGCCATGCGCAAATATAAATGAAGACCACCTTTGCATTCTGTATTTTAACCGATCGCACAATCAATTTGTCATTTTTTTTCCAACATTAGCCAAATGTACGTCTGTTATGCTTCACTTCTGTTTGCGTGGAATTCGATGACGAATAAAACAAACAATCTTTTTATTTTCATTCCGGAAAATAAAATGCATACACGCATTTTAAATTTAGTGGCTCACTTCGTAGTTGCTCTTTTTTCTTCTTTCTTCTTCCAACTATAATAGTATTTTTTATTAAAAAATCAACAATAACAATTCAGACTGTTACAAATACTTATTGTTACTATCAAAAACACTTTTTTGTCTCCATGGTGTGCCATTACCAAAAAAGAACAAGGAGTTCTTATTTCTTAAAAAAAGAAATTATTTATTTCGCTTTCACAAGTCTAAAAAACTGCAATTAATAAATGGGTTGTACAACTACTAAAATAGCCCCCCAATCACCTCAACCGAAAGAACAGCAAAGTTATAACGACGATGACATTGACAATATACAAGATGATTCTGTTTTCTCGCCTAAAAATATAGCTGCTGACGATAATATCATCGCTAACATTCCTGACAAAAGCGATCAAATTCATATTCAAGTTGCCGATTCACAAGCATTCAACGATTCATTTGTTCAACAACGTCAACAAGCTATTAACAATCGTTCTTATCAAACGACTGTTCAATCATGGCAACCCAAATCTCTACAGCAACTTACAGAGCTTATAGACGCTTTTTCCAAAGGAAAATCTTTAATTGATCGACATTGGATTATTTTCTATTGGATTGCATGTAATATCGACTACGATACAGAATCCTATTTTTCAAAGAATTATAAAGATCAAACGGCAGAAGGAGTTTTTCGATTCAAGAAAGGTGTTTGTGCTGGCTATGCTAATCTCTATAAATATCTATGTGATCAATTAGGAGTTCCATGTGAAATAATTAGTGGCTATGCAAAAGGTTATGGATTTGACGATCGAAATGGTGCAACACCAATGGAAACTGATCATGCATGGAATGCAGTTGAAATTGATGATCATTGGTATCTAATGGAATCAACATGAGGCAGTGGACATCTCAATGATAAGAAACAATATGAACGTGAATTGGCATCATACTATTTTCTTCCACGTCCAAACGAAATGATCTATCATCATTTACCAGAAGATCCAAAATGGCAATTGCTAAAAAGTCCCATCAAAATGGAAGAGTATTTACAAATGCCGAAACTTCGTCCACTTTATTTTGATTTAAAACTTGAATTAGTGAATCCACGTAATAAAAATGTTATCTCACTGCTACCTGGTAAATCATATGCTATGGCTCTACTAAGAGCAAGTCGAAATGTTCAGCTGATAGCAGATTTAGAATTTAACAATGAAAAAATCGATGGTGGTAATCATATCATGTTTGATGTGCCCAAACAGCTCTACCGTTGCTATTTTGCACCTAAAAAAGTTGGCCAACATAAGATAAATATTTATGGAAAAGAAGATGCTTCAGATAAAATCACATACGGAGGTGTATTGGAACTGACGTTAGATGTGAAACAATTATCAAAAACTGCTGTTAGTTTTCCAAAAACATGGGATTATTTTTCCAACTTGCATCTACAAGTTATATCTCCCCAGAATACGCATGTAATTACACTAAGTAATGGAATTAGTAATACACAGATTCTTATTAGGACGCCTGAAGATGTTGAACTTATGGGCCGTTTAGAGAATGAAGCAAAACAACAAATCACAGGTGGGCATCAGATCTATTACGATCGGCGAAAAAGAATCTGGCGATGTGATTTTGCACCTGATCGAGATGGATTTTTCGAAGCAACTATATTTGCAAAAAAGACCTCTAATGCTGCCAGTTACAATGCAGCTGTTGCATTCAAAATTGAAGCTACACAGATTCCATTGCCACCGATATCATATCCTTACACATGGCAACATTTCTATGATTTTGGACTCAAAATAAAAGCGCCAGCTCATC